TTTACTTTATATTTAGTAAAGTTATAAATTTTCAAACCATATAAAACAATGTACTCTTATAAATAAATAATAATGTATTAATATAATTTAAAATTTCAAAAACAAATTAAAAACACTCTTTACCAAACAAATTTTATATTTTTATTTCGTAATTTTGGCTACAGTTTGACTCTGCCAAACATGTTTTGTTTTCATATTTCTTAAAACGAAATACCTTACCAAACATGTTATACATGTTTCTATTCCAAAATTCTACAAATTATCGTCGTCAAACATGTTTCCGTTTTTAACTCAGAACACTCCATAACAAAAGACTTGTTTTGTTTTAGGCTAAAACAAAATACCAAAAACACAACGCGTACCAAAAATGGCCTCAATTAAAGCAATTAAGCATGTAGAGATCAAAATTAAACAATAATACATAGTTCAAATCTCAAGTTCATATAAATTAAGATCATGTACATATATACATATATAGTCTCTGTTTTAATCCGATTTAGCATACAAACAAGTTCATTAATCTTGTTTAATCATCCTAAAGCCATCTTAGATATATATTGAACACTAAACCAAAGGATATGAGTAGAGCATAGAGCTTGCCTTAATGATTTCAAATTGAAACCCAAAACTCCTTCTTCTCCAGCCAATTCCTCAACACCGGCAGCCTCTGGTTGCCGTCGTCGCCCTAGTGCTGCTCTGGTTCACACACACGAACAACCTCCTTCGCTCCTACCTTGGTTCGGCCTTGCTTCCTTGGCCAATTCCTCTATTTTCTCTCTCAGTTTCACCCTTTCTTTCTCTGTCGCCTCTCTATCTAACCCTCTTATCAGTCTCTCGAAAAAGGGTTATGAACTAGACAATACGTTGCATATCGCGAACCATGGTGGCATACACTTGTACATATTTTGGTCGTAAGCACCATGGACCTGTGCATCCAACTTATGCACTCGTGCATGGACTTTGAATTGGAAAATGATTTTAGTTTTCAAATCCAATCGAACATGGACATCAGTTAGGCTTTGGGGACGAATTCTAATAATTTTTTTGATTCTTTTGCTATCACGTTTAACTCTGAAAAACCTTTGTGAACATATGATTTTCATATTGAAGAATGCTTTTGAAAAATGTTCAAGCTTTATGCTTATTTGCGTATCTTGAGAGAGAGACTATGATTATTTACTCCTAAGCTATTTCTACACACGATTGCACTGCCAGTGTTAGTTTTTGTAGATTAGGAGCAAGTGTCAGAGAATAATCAATGGAATTTTTTTCTTCAAAAGTATTGGATTATAAGACTTGGAAGTATTTTAAAGGGGTTAACTCATTGTATACATTTTCAGACAGCAAATAGGTGTGCATTCTTATAGCATTGTCTTCATGGTTTTTCTCGTTTGGTTTTTCACATTACAAATTGCTTGTGTTCTCTCTTTATTTTATTTTTCAAAACAATGTATGTTTACTTACATCCTTGGTAAACTGGTTAATTAAATAATTTAAAATTTAATTAAGCAGCAAATTGAGAGAAAAGACATATTTACCCCTTGTATGGGTAAATACTATCAGCTTCAAATTGTGCAATTTTCATTTTGTTTAGTGTTGGTTGCTCTAGATATCGAGCAATATTTTACTGCTTAAAAATAGCTTTTAAAACCTTTTTTTTTTTTGGAGAAAAATATTGGATATGGTAGGGCTAAGATGAGCCGGATGGATGAAATGGAAATTCTTTTGGGATGGTCGTCTTGTATTCTCATGAAGGAAAAGAGTGTCTTTGTAGATATGCTCTTTACTTTTTGGTCAGCTAAAAAAACGTGGTGTTACCTAATAATAATTCTTAAGCTTTGGAATCTATATTCGTTTCGAGTCATCTACTAAGTTCTCTAGGAATTTTTGCATTACTGTTAATCAATTTTATATATATTGTTAAGTAAGATTGAGTTAGAAAGATTAATCAAATATGTGGTTTCCTATACTATCTGCTGGGAGGCCAAGAGAGTCTGCTGACCGACTAAAAGGCAGCATTTTAAACATTTTTGGTGAGTTAAATACCCCTATAGATTTGGAGATACTTGCTGACATCAAAACATATTTTCTTCACTTGCATACAATATATGACTCAGAAAAGTGCATAGCTTGCATGGGTGCTTGCTGAGAGACCTATTGGGCAGATAAAGTGGTACCAGCACTTTTCATTTTCACTCTTTCTCCATCTGAAGCAAACCGAGTTTTGATAGATGGGTAGATAAAGTTGAAGGAATAGGTGAAAAAAGAGTTTGAAATTGATAGGTTGTTGATGAGGGGACAACCTAGAGCTTAAGGGCCTACTGGTAACTAATATTAATTTATATTTTATTTTGTATTGATGTCAACAATGCTGTTACTGTTCTAACACTATAATTTGTTGTATTTTCAGTGGCATTCTCCGTCAGCTTAAGGAATTTGGCATCTATGATGTTAACAGCCATTTACTTGGCAATAGATAGAGGGCTCGGAGGATGGTGAAGTGAACTTGATACAGAGAAATTTATAGAGCTACTGTATAAAGACACTCAGATTGCGAACTATTAATCCGCTGTTCTGAATGGCTTGCCAAGGGCAGTGGACATTGCTGATTGCACCATGGTACACACAAAACCATACTAAGATATTTATCCATTACAATTGGTGGATCCTGTGATTAATCGACTTCATTTGTGCATCCAGTAATTTAATTTCTTAAGATATGTTGTGTGTGTGTGTGTATATATATATATATATATATATATATATATATATATTATTAGCTGCCTTTTGAAATTTAATACAAATGACGTTCATACCATGGATTGACGTATTGCCAGATACACGACGTATCGTTTGATTCATGTCGATACCTATAGATAAGTTTCTATTTTCTGGTCGGCTAAAACAGTGGTGTTACCCAATACTAATTCTCAAGCTTTTGAATCTATTTTAGTTTTGGGTCATCTATTTAGTTCTCTAGGAATTTTTGCATTACTATTAAGAGATCTGAACAACATTAGTTTCTCACGTGTGACATTTTAATTCAATCTTGCATGATCGAGTTTTAGTTCTAGAGTCTAGTGGCTCACAACACCACCCTTTGTTCTGTATAAATTACTCGACCCGTTTGTTTCTTAGATTCTTGATTTAGGGAGTCATGGGCATGAGGAGTTTTGGACATATCAGCGTGGATGTTGGGGAAAGGTGTGGCTACCACCCTATCTGTAGGGATGGTAACGAGGTGGTTATGGGTCGGGTTCCCTAAGCCTTACCATGTTTGTCTAGTTTAGGAGTGGGTATAGGGTACCAAGAAGGCAAGAAGAACTTTTATTTCATCATGGCCAAGCAATGCCTTAATTTTTTTTTTCCTAACAAATTAAGAGACCGGGATTCAAATACGGGCACACTCGTTCAGGGAGTTGGGCGCTCTACCACAGTCCTCGGCCTAGATGGCCAAGGTGGTGGCTTAGAGTGTCCAAATTTGGGGGCCTCAAATTTTGGCCCAACCTATATAGTTATACTAGGCCACAAAATTTGGCCCAAAACAAAAGTTGATCCTACTGAAGAAAAAAAAAAAAAAAATGCTGTTGGGGGCCTCAAATTTTGGCCCAACCTATATAGTTATACTAGGCCACAAAATTTGGCCCAAAACAAAAGTTGATCCTACTGAAGAAAAAAAAAACAAAAAATGCTGCTGATACAGAAATAAAAAATGTTGGCCCATAATAGAAATACAAGGCTTGGGTTTATGGGCCCAATTTTGTTCAGTTTGGCTGTCTTTTAGCCACTGAATTTCTTTACCCATTTTTATGTTTTTCGAATCAAGAAAAAACCATAGAAAAACGAATTGTGTTCTAGGGCGTTTGTTGCTCCTCGAAGTCCAAGGATAAGATTTGCGTTTGGTGTGTTGTCTTCAATTGATCCACACACATATTTTCATCCTTTTTTTTCTTTTTTTTTTTTAACATACATATCTTCATAATTATATTAGTTGTAGAATTTGAAAATATCGTGTGAAAATTTTGCACTCTTATCGTTTGGGAAACTTGACCTCGCATTTGAAAGTTCGCCTATAACCTCTGAAAATTTGGAAAACACAAGATCGACCTGCGCTCTATTAACTAAGTCAAGCATTGCCTTAATTGAATCTTGACATTATGTGCATTTTCTCAAGCAACTGGAGTCAAAATCGAAGGGATCACTTTGTCTTAGAAACAACAAATTTTTGATAATTTGACAAAAAGAGGGGCTATAAGACTTTCAGTCCAAGCTTTAGACGAAAGAAAAAAATGGAATTTACTTCATAAATTCTACATGTAATACCGTTAAAATAATAATAATAATAATAAATTAATTTTAAATTAAAATTTAGAATTACTTTATGAATTTGAATCAACTCGTTTAGGTTTGAGTTAACTTGTACAAGAATAATTCTAAGTCGGACAATACAGAATCGTAAATATAAATTTGCTGGCGATTAAGAATTGTACTGCAGTTGTATTTTTTTTTTGCCATACATATCATTAAATTAATCTTTATAAAAGTTAAGCTAAGCAATTTAAATACGTTTCATGTATTAAAAGTTGCAATATAATGCAATTTATACTTTAAAAAGATAATTGATCTTACTTCAATCAAAAATGCAATTTGAATTGGACCAAGAACCCAAGAAAACCCTAAAAAAATTGCTCACTTAAATGTTTTAATTAGTTTATATAAAAATTGACCAACACAACGTATATAATTAGGCACTCTTTTAAATATTCGGTAGAACAAATTTTTATGTTATGTTTGGCGGCATCGATTATTTGAAATTAAAAAAAAAATTAGTACAAACTTTTTACACTTTCTGGAATCCTAAATTCAAAACACCAATCCTCCCAAACATAACAGTATCTAGCCCCCAAGCCCATATGTATTTACAGCCCATCAGTGTGTGAACCTCTATCCCCAGCCCATTTCTTATCCCCAAGCCCATTCCCCCTTTAAATCTCATCGAAACCCTAGCCGCAACAACTCACTACATTCATTATCTGTTCTCTCCTCACTCACTGCCCCAATCCGCAAAAACCACCACTTCCTTATACACCCGACGACATAGCAGCATCAAAACGACGGCTTCAAAATTCTACTCTCTCAGGTTAGCGTTCTTCCTCTCTCTTCTGATCTCACTTCTCTCTTCTCTTAATATAGTCATGATCGAAATTGAGAGTTTTTTTTTTTTTTTTTTTAAAATTGGGAGACTTGAGCTCTTTCGAGTTAACGATCTCCAACCGAATCGAGTTCGAGCATTCCATTCCTGTTGAACACGGCAAAGGGTTACCATTTACTCTCTTTTTCAAATTTCACTCTCTTTTTCAACTGGTAGGTCTGAACTTTTGAATCTTTGACTATTTGTTGTTTTGTGTGGTTTGTTTAATAATCACTTCATTATCTATTTTTTTATAGATTTTTTCCTTTTCTGTGGGAAATTTAGTACTTCTTCATTTTTTCCTCCTATTTTTTGGGCAGGCCTCTTAGTGTCATTCATTTTATACTCAGATTTGTTGTTGTTGTTGTTGTCGTTGTTTCATGCTTTTTACTTCCACAATTTATCATTGATGCACTTCCTGTAACTATTATATCCCTGTATAGGCTTATAATCTCATAAAGCCATAATTACAAAAAAAAATCTTATCTGTTTTTTGCTGGGTGATACTGTACTTGATAATGATTAAAAGTTTCCTTTGATTTCTAACTTTTAACTTTTATTGTGTTTGTGAAATATAATGGGATGATCAGTCCATATAAGGAAATGTATACATTTTGTATTGTGATTGGAACTTTAGTAGTGGCTATTGTGAATTGGCAGCAATAGAGTTATTTATGATTTTTGTGTGAATGCTTTTGTAAATTGGTGTATTGTGAATTGGCAGCAATAGAGTTATTGTGATCGGAATGTTAGTAGCAGTATTGTGAATTGGCAGCAATAGAATTATTTATGATTTTTGTGTGAATGCTTTTGTAAATTGGTGTCCTGTTGCTTCTAGGTGATCTTTAGCAGGTACTTTTGAATCTTTGACTATTTGTTGTTCAAGCACTCTTTCTGTTTTCATGTCAAAGTAGAGTAACCTTTTGACTACCTTTTTTTTGTGCAACATTTAAACAACAGCAATAGATAACTCCTTGACTAGTCACAGTGAGTGTTGAGCTGTATCCAAAATTTTGACTGGAAGTAAAGTAGGCAATATTAATCATAAGTCACAACTTCAGTGTTTTCTTATTTTTAGGGTTAGCATTGGGCCTTAACAACGACTAGCAAGTACAAGAAGGTAAAGGGTCAAGAAAGAAACATGCCTCCTCAGTCATCAGGTAACAAACTCCTATTCTCTCCTACTGATTTGTTGTTGTTTATGTTTCTATATTACACACACACACACACACATATATATATATATAACTTTTAAAATTTTCTCTCCTTTGTCCTAGTAATATAGGTAGCTTTTATGAAAGAAGAGAGTTGATTGGAACTGGGTGGAGTAGGGAAAAAAATAGTTATGTTTTTTTGATATATTATCATACTTGTTTGATTAGATGCTCTGTTTTGTACATTAAGGATGTGACAATAATTATTAATTGCTTTTTCTCATTCATTCTAAAAAAAAATTTATGTTCAATCCTGGCATTTTCTTTATTTCTTTATCCTCTTCTTCTATCTTCTCTACATCCACTCATATTAATTACATTAAATTTAGCCAAAATAAGTTTTTTTTTTTTTTTTTTTTTTTTTTTTTGTGGGGCCTTTGTGAATTTGTTCTGGATATGCTCCCCTCTTGAGCGCTCTTTAATGAAAGTAACTCATCAATATATATAAATATTTGAGTCAGTTTTTGGAAGTCTAACCAAATTAAAGACAAAATTTGGTTTTAAAATGTTTTTTTTGTTTCAAAGGTTTTATTTCTTCAAAATTGGAATAGTAAGCTCAATGCATTGTATTGGTACACCCAGCTCCAGTAATCATTATGCATGAGTCCTTACAGGGCATGCACTAGTACATCCAACTTATGCACTTGTGTATGGACTTTGGAATTGGAAAATCCAATTGAACATGGGTATCACTTAGACTTTGGGGATGTATTCTAATGATTTTTTTTTTTCCCGACTCTTTCCCTATCAAATTTAACTCCGAAAAGACTTATCAAAAAAAAAAAATTAACTCTAAAAAGCATCTATGAACACATGATTTTTTTTTTGGCCTTTGTGAAGTTGTTCTGGGATATGCTCCCCTCTTGAGCGCTCTTTAATGAAAGTAACTTATCAATATATGATGTTAAAACTCAAGTTGATATTATTTTAGCATGTTGCATCATACACAACTATTTAATGGCCTTATTAATGAAGTAGACCGGGAGCTGTTGAATGAAACTCGAAATGAAGAGGCTGGTCCAATTGAGAGAAGTGAAGATCATAGTTTGGGAGAATACTTAAGAGATTCAATAGCTTCCCATATGTGGCATGACTATGTAGCTAAAAGTGTGATATTTCATATGTTTATTTGTTTGAAATAACTTTGCGTCTTTTATATTAGAGTGCTTGTTTTGATTTGGAGATGTATAATGCTAATAACTTGTTATAAACTCCTACCTTGCATGCATTTTTTTATCTATCTTCAATTGAATCTTTATCTTTTTGTCCCTTTCTTTGTATTATACTTGGTTATTATGTAGACATAAGAATGAGTAAAGAATCCTAGTACATGTTCCTCGATGCTGAGGGCATCCCCGAAGAGCAAAGCATAAGTGGTGTGTCGAAGAGGATAGATTGGATTGGAATGCACAAATGGATGATATATTTTTGGATGAATTACATAATCAATATTTCAAGGGGCGTATGCTTGATGAGACATTCACAACAAAAGCTTATCGTGAAATTATTGAAGAATTGAAAGAAAGACTAGGCATGGATATCAACAAAGCTAGAGTGAAGACTCGTTTTAACGAGTGTTTTGACTTGTTCAAAATTGGTTTGAGTGGGTTTGCTTGGAGTCAAGAAACAAAAATGTGGAGTGCTGAACCTGAAGTTTGGGCTAATTTGATTGCGGTTGGTTTTCTAATTGTGATTATTATTATTATTATTTTACTCATAAGAGATACATTCTTTATTTTTTTTTTTTTTTTTTTTTTCATTTTGAAATAATGATAATTCTTTTTTTCTTTTTTATGTTTTGGCAACAGGCAAAACCAGCAACTGAGAAATGGAAGACTATTCCGATTTCTAATTATGATTAGTTGCTGGATTTATTTGCCAAGAATAAGGCAAGGGGGTTTAATGCCCTAATGGCTAAGGAGAGGAATGATAAATGGGTAGCAAATGATAGGGAGAGGAATAATCAATCAGCAGCAAGTGCTAGTGAGAGGAGCAATGAATATGTGCCAACTCGTAATGAGGATCGTATGGATAGCATTTGTGGTATTGATCACTTGGTGTCACGGAATGAAGCAAGTTTGGATAATACGGGTTTTTTTGGATACAGAGTTTGAAAACATGAATATAATGTCTTCTGAAACACCTTCAAGTGTACCTTCCCATTCCACTTCTTCAAAAGGTAAAAGAAAAAGGAATTCTTCGACTGTTGATCAAGATAATGAAATGATTGGAGTAAAGAGAGGTGTTCAAAATGAAATGTTTTCTGAAGATCATTTCCCTCTTTAAGAAGTTCATAAACAGGGAAATGAACTTCTTAGAGAGGGAAATGATCTTTAAAAACATTCAATAATCTTTATGAAAAGTGCAACTAAAAGGGAAAAGAAAGAAATCTTTAAGGAGTTGGCAACAATTGCAATAGAGGAGTATGTAATTGTTAAGGCTTTCATTTTTTTGACTTAAGTGGCTGTTTGGGATTGCTGTTAAAATCATGAAAGCACTTTTAGCAGTAAGTAAAGCTGTTGTTATAAAATTGTTGTCAGTAAAAAATATGTTATGCATTTGGTGATATATTTTATAAAGCGCTTTTTATATTTAAAGCATTTTTAAATTTGTTTGGTAACAATGTTGAATAAAGAACTTTTACAACCAAAATTACTAATAGTATTCCTATTCTCTGTATATTTTGTTTTGGTTCTATATAATATGAATTCTTGCTTATCAAAGGAAAAAAATAGAACATTAGCTCATATTTATGAAATTCAAACGGGTAAGATTCAAGGTTGAAGTTTAGTTTTACTAATTATAGCATTGTAGCTTTTTGTTAGATTAGTTTTAAATAAAGTTAACCTAAGAGTGAAATCAAAAAAAAATTCAAAAGTAATAATTACCCGATTTAAGAAACTGATCTAAAAGAACATTCTGATAGACAAGAAATGATATAAATATAGATTTTGTAGAAACTGATAAATGAAAGAAAAAAAATTGGATGATTATGGAACTGAACTCCTATTAAACTAAATTTCTAATATAACTTGAATTTCTAATACATAGGTTTCTTAGAAGGAAGGATATTAAATTTCTAATATATAGGTTCCTTAAAGGAAAGGGTACGGATGTTTGCATAATATTTGTATATTTTTTAACATGAGGGAGAAAATTGTACTTATAAAAAGTAAAAAGGGATTAAATTGTCTAAAATAATATAATTATCATAAAAATATCTACATCTACTTAAAACACAATTTTAAAAGCTACGATTTGCAACTTCAAGTGAATGCGCTTTTTTGATGAAACCTCTATTATCTAACTGCATTTATTTTTGTTACCAAACACATCTCACCGCAGTTTTTAAAAAATGAAAGTGCTTTTTAATGGTAGAGAAGCAATCCCAAACAGGCTGTTAAGCATGACTATCCTGATGGAATGACACAATTTCTTGGTTGCCCATTTAATCACCGCAAGCAACTCTTGGAGGAATTGATGTCCGATGATTCTGGATGTTGACTATTGTTTTAGTTATATTGTCTTTTGGGGATGTGAACCATTGATAACTTTAACTTGGCAATATTTTGGGACAATTGGTTGAACTTTCTACCATTTCTATGTTTTGTTATATTATGTTTCTCTTTGGCTATGAAGCTTTTGGAATATTAATTTTGAAACCATATGTTTGTTTTATTTTAATGAGACATTATAATGTGTTATCTTTTGTGGAATGATTGTTATCTCATGTATTTATTTATTAAATTTTTTTTTTTTTTTTGATGGTTGATTGGAAATTTCATATACATGAGCCTTCTGGATTTTTTGTGGGATTGCCTTCTGGATTTTTGGTTTGGAAATTTTCGCTGTTCTTTGAATTCTATTACTGTTGTTATTGTCATTGGAAATTTTAGCTTTTCCTTGGATTCTTGCAGATTGCATCATCTCATCATGGGAATGTAGGACAAAATTGGTTATGAAGGGTGACCATTTGTTTGGATTGAAAACATTATGTAGTTAGAGCTGTTGTTGTGTGCTATTCTTTTTAAATGTTCCTTTGTTGGGTTCTTATCTAATAGAAACAGATGCTGAATTAGACCTTCCCTCAGTGTCATCTTTTATATTTGACCTTCCTAGGAAAAGTGACTCATCTTGTTCAGGTAGAAGCTACATCTATGGTTTCAACAGTACTGTTTAGAGCTAAATCTTACTATGACTTCTCAAAAAAAAAAAGAAAAAGGATTAGAGCTGCGATTTATGCAATCATCCATCACTGCTGTGTTTAAGTTACCTGCTGCTACTATCCATGCTATTGAAAAAATAATCAAAAATTTCATTCGTGGCTGCTATATGAAATCCAAAAAACTCCATTTGCTGCAGTGGAATAGAGTAGCTTGTCCAAAGGCTGAGGGGGTTTTTGGTATTAGGAGGGTGGTTGAGCTGGACTGGGCTGCTAAGCCTCTATTAGAAATGTTATCCAAAACGGCAGATGGTGTAAACCAAGGTTTATGGCTGAAGAAATAATTTGACATTTGGAATTTAGTTGTTAATATTCCTATTAGACAAGGTTCAGATTTGATCAACTGCAAGCATGGGAATGCATCTTCCAAGTCCTTCTGGAAGTGTTATAGAAATGAAGCTCCTAGAAAGTATTGGGTTAAGTTAATTTGGAATGGTGGAAGACCAGCAGCTAGTGTGCACGGGCGGAGCCAGAAATTTAAGGCCCCCCTCTACTCCGCCCCTGCTGCCTCCCTCTAGCTTGGCTTTGCAGAATTAACTTTCCACCTTATCAACCTTGTAGCATAGAGGTATTTGTGTCATTCCTATGTCACAATTGTATGAGGGATGTTGATATTGGGGAACATCTGTTTTTCAACTGCATGTTTGATAAAGAGACTTGGAAATGGATTGTTGATCTATTTAACTGGAATTTGGACAATATGCAGAGTTTTGATCACCTTGTAAAATGGTTCAACAATCAGTCATACATTAATTCACAAAGTAGTAAGATTCTGAGATTAACCTTTTTTTTTTGTTTTTTCCTAATGGTAGATTCTGAGATTAACCTTTACATTCACCATTTGGCACCTAATGTGGTCTAGGAATCAAAAGAGTTCATGATGATATTCAATTTCTCCTTCTAAAGTTGCACGATAGGTCATTTGGAATATGGTTGACACTTTGGGGATGCATTTACAGGATCTGGTGGGAATTTTCACGTGCTGATTATAGGGATTTTGATGATTGTTATTGTATTTAGAGATGGGCTGGGTGGTTGTGTTTGTAAGAGTGGTTTGCTAGTTCTTTTGCTGGCTTTTCCTTTCTTTTATTGCTGTTAGCTAACTTTTGGAAATGGGATTTTTTTTTTTTTTATTCTTTTATGTTTCTAAAGAGGTATGCCTCTGTTATTTTTGAGTTTGGTTGTTTGTTAAAAAGAAGCTTAGGAGAAATATATATATACTAAAATTGCAAAAATTATGTAGTAAGTCAGGGCTGCCATGATATACAAATTTGAATGATAACTTCAATTCCCAACAATGAAGTGAAAAGAAACTTCCAGTCTGTATTTGATTTATATATCAACAACCAAAAAGCAGCCATGTCACCATGATAGGAACACCTGGAACAATTATTCATTCAGAAATATCTCCAATATGTGATCATTTGAGACAATCAAAAGCTAAGAGACCTTGTAGCTGAGTAAAAAAATAAGCCCAGAAGGATTTAAATTTACTAAGAAAGAAGGCTTAAAAAGGTATAATCAAATCAAAATCTAAGGAATATATCGATCAAAACAGTGGCTCAAGTCAACCCAACAAAGCTGTTAATCTACATAAATCAAAACTGTGGATGGGATCATCTACTTGGTTTCCTTCTATGTGCAAGGCATAGCCCTATTGAGTATTTATTAAACATATTATAACAATCAGAAAACGACATATGAAAAAAAAAAAAAAAAAAAAAAAAAAAAAAAAAATGGGTGACCATTTCTGGACTAGTGGATCGAATAGTCTAGAAAATCCAAGATATATATGCAAACCAGAAGTAGTTGTACATAAATGTCAAACTATTTCAAGATGCACTGCCAAGCAAGCAGAGAGAGTTTGCTTTAATTAATTCTTGGTGTATTTTAATTAAAAGTGTCCATAAGAAATAGAAGAAAAAGGAACAATGGTTTGGGGGAACTAAAGACATCATGAAAGGGTAAGATAATAATTTGGTCACTATTTTTTCTTTTCTTTTCTCTCTTTTATTTTATCAAAATAAGAACAACTATTTTTTTTTCTTTTTCTTTTTTCTCCTATCTATCCAAACATGAATAGAAATTATTACTATCATTTCTTTTCTTTTCTTTCATAACTAATACTATCATTTCTTTTCTTTTCTCTCATATGTATCCAAACACACCCTACATTTATTATCTGTTATCTCACTCGTTCCCTACCCCCATCCGCAAAAACCAACACTTCCCCATACACCCGACGACATAGCTACAACTAATCGGAAAATCGAACCCACGGATCGGGCGAGAAACATGCCTCCTTAGTCATCAGGTATCAAACTCCTGCTATCCCCTACTGATTTCTTGTTGTTTATGTTTCTATATTACACACACACATATATAAATATATATATAACTTTTAAAATTTTCTCTCTTGTCCTAATAATATAGGTTGCTTTTATGAAAGAAGCGAGTTGATTGGAATGGGTAGAGTAGAGAAAAAAATAGGTATGTTTTTTTTGAGATACTATCATACTCGTTTGATTAGATACTCTGTTTTGTACATTTACTATGTGACAATAATTATTAATTGCTTTTTCTCATTCATTCTAAAAAAATTTATGTTCACTCCTGGCATTTTCTTTATTTCTTTATACTCTTCTTCTATTTTCTCTACATCCACTCATATTAATTACATTAAATTTAGCCAAAATAAGTATTGTGTTTTTTTGGGGGCTGGTGAAGTTGTTCGGATATGCTGCCCTTTTGAGCGCTCTTTAATGAAATGAAAATAACTTATCAAAATATATATATATATATTTGTGTCAATTTTTGGAAGTCTAACCAAATTAACTCGATAAAATTTGGTTTTAAAATGTTTTTTTTTTCAAAGGTTTTATTTCTTCAAAATTGGAATAGTCAATGCATTGTATTGGTACACCCAGCTCCAGTAATCATTATGCATCAGTCCTTACAAGGCATGCAGTAGTACATATTTTGGTAGTAAGCACCATGGACCAGTACATCCAACTCATGCACACATCCATGGACTTCGAATTGGAAAATCCAACTGAACTTGGATATGAGTTAGACTTTGGGGATGTATTCTAATGATTTTTTTTCCCGACCCTTTTCCTATGATGGCCCAAGTTTTTAAAATTCGGTGCATCAACGAGTGACCCGAAACTGACACGATAACGAATTCCAAATGTGAAAGCGAATAAAAAAACGAAGTCTCTAGAGATGTATATCATCCTTAAGACGCCAACGTGGCTCCCCATGAAGTAACGGAACTCAAAAGATAACTACATGGAAGTTAGGGTTAAAAACGGATTAAGTGGAACCCTAGGGGTAAAATAGTCTTTTCACGTTTAAATAGTCTTTTGTGCACGTCATTGGGTCGACAACGAAAAATTAATGAAGTTGAACTCATTAATGAAGTGCACGCCATTTGCTGGCCATTAAGAATTGTACACTTCTTGTACTTTTTTGCCATACATATCATTAAATTAATCTTTGTAAAAGTTAATCTAAGCAACTTAAATACGTTTCAGAGTATGATGTATTAAAAGTTGCAATAGCAGGTGATCATTTTTTTGTTTTTTCCCCCTAGATAATGCAATTCATACTTAAGAGGCGATCAAATAAAATAATTTATATCACTTCAATCAAAAATGCAATTTGAATTGGACTAAGAACCCAAGAAAACTAAAAAGATTTGTCATTTTTTTGTCCAAAATTGATCATCAATTCAACATTCTCCAATCCTGTAGCCACAAAATATTAATAATAATAAGGGTAAAGTGCATTAAACCCCCCCTTAACTATACCCCAATGAGCAAAAAACCCCCCTGAATTTCAAAATGAACAAAAAACCTCCTTGAACTATTCAGTCTGTTGCACTTTACCCAATCCGGCAACCAGCCGATAATTTTCCTTGCACGTGAGAGGACAAATTTATGTAAATGACCATACTGCCCTTGTCAATTTAAAATACTATACTGCCCATGAAACACCATTGGACCCAAACAAGCCCTAACAAATTCACTCATTGTCTTTTTCCTCCAGCACATATGATATATATATATATACATATATATACACAACACATATGATGCTCATCCTTTGGCATTAGAACTGAAACGATCCAAGGTATAGTTTGAAGCTTTTGTACCCATATGTTAGCTTAGTATACAGTGAGTAAAAATAAAATCAAAATCAAAATCAAAATCAAAAAATCAAAACCCATTTGGCATATACAGATAAAGAAATCAAAACCCATAGACATATTCTATCTGTACACCCCACTCCAGTTCAAGAGTATTTAACAGACTCAATCCATTCTCCAACCTCCAACGAAGCAGGCACTCTTCTGCAACTTGACTCATTCTGATTTAGATATCCATCACAAAAATCAACTAGAAAGTGTTCTCACTTCGATTGGGACCGTCACACAGTTCTTTATCTAAATCGATATCAAAATAAAAAATAAAATCAAAAATCAAAACCCACTTGCTAGCCGCTCCTCTCCACCGACACATTTCTTCCTCACGGCGGAGCCCTCGCCGGTCCGTCACTGCCGCTGCACCACCCACCGTCCATCACAACCGACATCATCCAAAGCTGAAACCGCCGACGCCGTCTTCATCCTCTCCACCGTCCGAAGCCTCCTTGCTCGCCGTGAGTTCGGCCGCCGTTCAATCCCGCCAAGCTTGCCCACGGCCGAGTCAACTGAGCCCTCCACCGGCTCAGCCGCCGCCGTCTCTGCCATTCAGTCCACCCACCTCACCGTCACAGAGCCCTTCTCCACCTCGCCGTCACAGCCAACCCTTCTCCATCAAGCCACCATAGCCAAGCTCGTCATCGCCTTGCCCGCCGTTCTGTCAATCACCGGCTTTGAGGTCACCTTTTCAATTTGGGGGTTCATCGAGTTAGAGAAAGAAGGGAGTGAGAAGAGAGACCCAGTTGAAGATAACAAAAAGAAAAGGAAAAATAATAATAAAGTCAGCAGCCAATAGTCTGCTGACACGTGTCCTCCAGGCATTTTATTTTCATCAATGTGATGCGGCACCGTTTTTTGAAGGGGTAAATTAGACTTTTCCAAATTCCGGTAGCTAGAAGTGACCTGAAAAACATTCTCTGTGCTAAGACTACAACAAGACCATAGTTGAAGGGGGTTATTTGTAGTTGAGGGTGGTTAGTTACACTTGGGGTATAGTTGAGAGGAGTTTATTGCACTTTACCCTGATAATAATAAAATTGCTCACTTAAATGTTATAATTTGTTTATATAAAAATTGATCAACACAATGTATATAATTAGGCACTCCTCTAAATATGAGGTTGAACAAATTTTCGGGAAAAATAGAGAGGTTAAACTAAGCTTGAAAAATATAAATATTTTTTGTCCATATATAATGGTAGGATTCCCGAAAAATTATTCATTACAGCCGTAGCAATGCTGACGTGGTGTAACGAATGGTTACAAACACTCCATCAAAGTAAATTGAACATATAATAGAACTAAAAAGCTGATATATGTGCTTTGGTGGAGTGTTTGTAGCCGTTCGTTGCACCATATCATCGTTTCAACGATTGCAATGAATAATTTCTTTTATATGCACTTAGGGTGAAAAATTCAGAATATTTATGCGCTTAGGATCCCCTTTTAAATATTAGATATTTTTATTAGCCGTTTCTTGTTTAATATATTTCTTATTTAAGGTTAGGAAGCATCTTGAGCCTATTGAGGGTCATTTCAAGTTGACCTGAGTATCAAGTTAAACCCAATCCAATGTAAGGAAAATCATAAGCCTTAATACGTGTTCATTTGTTTAGTAAATAAAGAATCAAGTTGAAACAAGATTGTTAGACTCATTTATTCATGAATAGTTTCATTTAAAAGATCGTTTACCAAGACTCGAACTTTTACCTTTCTAGTTGAGAATGAAGAGATTATACTATTGGAGTAGATGTCCACTAATATTTCATTTTAACCCATCAACAAAGTCCAAGCCTAATGCAGCCCACCCCAAATTTAATTTATGATATGTTTGGCTGTACGAATTATTTAAGATTGCGAAAATTTTAGTACAAATTTTTTACACTTTCTTCAATCCGAAATACAAGCACGTATCCTCCCTGACATAACAGTATATAACCCCAAGCCCATATGTATTTACAGCCCATCAGTGTGCAAACCTCAATCCCAAGTCCATTTCGTATCCCCAAGCCCATTCTCCCTTTAAATATCATCGAAACCCTAGCCACAACAACTACATTCATTATCTGTTCTCTCACTCACTCACTATCCCCATCCGTAAAAACCACCTCTTCCCCATACAACCGACGACATAGCAGCGGCAACACTAATCGGAAATTCGAACCCACCGGTTGGGCGCGAAACATGCCTCCTCAGTCAACAGGTATCAAACTCCTACTCTCCTCTACTGATTTCTTGTTGTTTATGTTTCTATATTACATACACATATATAAATATATATATATATATATATATAACTTTTAAAATTTTCTCTCCTTTGTCATGACAATATAGGTTGCTTTTCTGAAAGAAGTGAGTTGATGGGAATGGGTGGAGTAGGGGAAAAAATAGGTATGTTTTTTTTGAGATATTATCATACTTGTTTGATTAGATGCTCTATTTTGTACATTAAGTATGTGACAATAATTATTAATTGCTTTTTCTCATTCATTCTAAAGAAATTTATGTTCACTCCTGGCATTTTCTTTATTTCTTTATCCTATTATTCTATCTTCTCTACATCCACTGTGGCAAATTACATTAGCCAAATATATATATATATATATATATATGAGTCAGTTTTTGGAAGTCTAACCAAATTAACTCGAGACAAAATTTTAATTTTTTTCTTTTTTCAAAGGTTTTATTTCTTCAAAATTGGTATAGTAAGCTCAATGCATTGTATTGTACACCCAGCCATGGGTGGATCTATTCATGGGCTAATATTGCCCAAGTCCAAAATAAATAAAATAAAATAAATTAGTACTACTATTTCCTATCAGCCATTCAGGCCAGCCCAATCCATAATAAAACAAAAAGGCCAGCACAGCAAACCAAAGTTACAAACAAAATTTATGGGCCCTCAAAATTTATAGGCCCGTGGATGATGGGCCACCAAAAAAAAAAAAAAATTAGGGCAAGTCAGTTAACCTTGCCAATTGCCTCCAATCTCCATTCTCGTTATCAACCCTCAAGATTGATCTCCCGAATCAAAAGTTCAGAGTGAACTGTAAGTTTTCTGGCTGTTCTTTGTGCTATCTTTTTGATGGGCTGTTCTTTGTGCTATCTTTTTGAAGGGTTTTGTTTTAAATTTTTTTCCCTGAATGTTTTGTTTTAATTTCTTGCGTGTTTATAATTTATTGCATTTTGCTTTGATACGTTATAGTGATTTTGTACTTCACTGGCAGTGTGTGTTGGGTTGAAATTTGGAAAATCTGATTTTGTGATTTTGTAATCTTTGTAGGAGACGCCTTTAGAACGTTCTGTTCACCCGAACTGGACTTACCAAGTTAAATGCCAATTAGTGAGCCGACAGATGGCTTAAGGATCAAAAACGGTTGGGGAACTGTTCAACCTTTTCAACCCAGAACCTCATCCATCTCCCGATCCCTCACCATCCTCTCCGCCGGCTTCTATGAGTTTCTTCCGAAACTCACAGAGAACAATAGTAGATGCAGCGGCATTTCGAACAATCGTTGTGTTTTTGAATCCTATCCAGGCCGCTTTCCAACTCATCATGAGGGAATCCCTTGATTGTCGTTGCCCTTCCAAAGTCCACAGCTAGACTTCCCGAATCTCGATAAGCTCGATAAGGAAGTTGGTGGAGACAGATTTACACTATGGACTCTAAAATGGTTTGCTTAGACTAACGCTTTCATTTCCTAACTTCTGTAAGTTTTTCTTAACTGATTTTCACTACTTTTTTAATTATTTTTTATGTTATATCTGTCTGAATTGCAAGTTTTCATAAAGAAAGGCTGTGTTATGTAAATTTTATAGGGTTGTAAGTAATCTGACCATGTAGTACGGTGGGTTTTAATATTTGGGGTTTGTTGTTTTCATAATTTTGGTGATTTGTGTTGTGACATGCGGGTTTGGGGTTCGCATAATTTTCTAAGTTTACATATTTTCGGTTCATAATTGGAGGGTTTGGGTTTTATTTTTTTAAATTTTATTATTTCATGAAGATTGGAGTTTTTCAGCAAATTTCTTTGTTCAAATTATATATATACATACAGAATATACAGATTGACAGAGAGGGAGAGACAGACCACATTAAGAGTAAATGACTTAGATTTTGAGCATGGTACGTGCTTACATACATGGAATGATTGTTATGCAGATAATTAATCTGTCAAGCTTGAGTTACAACCATCCGGTGGGAGGGCCTAAATTTTTTTTTTTTACTTTTTCATAATATGCCAACGATAGACTGAAACAAATAAAAAAATTACACTGGAATTCTTGGCCTAAGATTATTCCATCTCCCGTGAACAAACTAAAATAGTATATCATCATCCCCCCACATCCCATTCAAATGAACAAATTATATATTATTATTCAAACATTTTTTATTTTTATTTTTATACTAGCAAGTAATTCACATGCTTACTTTTGTTAAGCAAGAATTTGAATTTCTTACCTTTTATTTAGGAAGGTAGAAAAGATCCAACTTATCTGTATGAATAATGTTAAAAAGACCAGTAGTTCGGGAGGAATGAACCGGAAATGATAAAACATTACTTTTACTTAAACAATAGAAAAATGCGTTTGAACTGTAACAAAATGGTAAACTTTTTGTTATTAAAAAAACAATTCAAAAAATTCTTCTAAGAACTAACTGAAGATGCAAGCAATACCCCAAATTCCACGTCCAACCGAAATGTTCTCCAAGTTTACTCCCTATCCCGATTACCTTAGACCCTTGGTCAATTGTTTTTAAAGTTGGTTAGAGATGCAGGTTATATTCATTATATTATTGTTCGGCATCATTTAGTCAAAAAGGTTTGAGCTTTTGGATGAGTTGGTGGTTAATATAGTATCACATTAAACAGTTTGTCATTTATGATATCCTTAATTTCATCTACAGTAGTATATCTTCTTTGGAGGGAGAAAAAATTCATTCTTTATTTTGATTTAGGGGCCTTCATCTTTGCAACTTCTTTTCCATCGTTGATTGCCCGTTGTTCAATCTTTTTGATGGGTTTTGTTTTAAATTTTGTTTCTTGAATGTTTTGTTTTAATTTCTTGTGTGTTTATAATTTATTGCATTTTGCATTGATACATTAGTGATTTTGTACTTCACTGGCAGTTTGTTGGGTTGGAACTTGGAATTTTAATCTTTCATTGGATTATTTTGCTGACAAGTAACTATAATCGATAAGAGAGCAGAGATGTTCATTGTTAATTTTCGTCGTAGAGATGTTTATATTTGCGTTTTTTGGGGATAAATTTGAATTGGTTCCATTTATAGTAAATGAAGTGATAGGTTGTCTTGGTTCATGTTTTATGTTACTTCGATTAAAATTTAGAAATTTTATTTCTATTGCTTGCCACTGCTACTTTAGAATTGGGGAAATGAACGTAAATCACTTATTCAAGTGGCGATTTGAATTGAAGAGCTATCTAAATCAACAAGGACTAGATGAGTTGTGCTGCACAAAGAATTATTTGGTCAAACAACATTGTCAATTAGAGACTTAGTTTTACCGAATTTCTTGGTAATTTGAATTTGTTAGTTATTAACATGTATACCTTTAAGACCGGCCTATACTATATTCTGAATTCTAGGTTACTTTGTACTACATTGAATTCTTTCTTGTGCTCATATTTTATTTATTTAACTTGCTGGAAAGTTTACAGGGGATTGGGAATTTATATATATATATACCTAGAGCATGGATGACACATTGACACTATTTTTTTTTTTTTTTCTCATAGGTGATAGACAATTAGGCATGCCCTTTATTTTCTTGTCTTTAGCCCCCCTGACTTTGCAATCCTAGCTCCTCCCCTGCACCCAACTCCAGTAATCATTATGCATAAGTCCTTACAGGGCATGCACTAGTACATATTTTGTAGTAAGCACCATCGACCAGTACATCCAACTTATGCACTCGTGCATGGACTTCGAACTGGGAAAAAAAAAAAAATCATTAGAATAAATCCCCAAATAATAATAATTGTATTTATTGTTATTTTTGCTTAAGGAAATTTTAGGTATTTCATCATTCAAATAGAAAATATGTCCTTATTTGGTCAATTTGAATGTAGTAGGCATATCAGTGATATTTTGGTATATTTTTAATTATCCAAAACACTACTGGATGTCTCTCCTTTTTTCTATTTTAAACACCAATGGAATGTCTCAAGTTCCCTAATTCAATATTTTCTATATTTTTCTTATTTAGTGTTATTGCTTACAAAAAAAAATGAAGATGGATGCTGGATCATTTTACATACCCAAGCACCTGACTCCTCCAGGGCAGGATAATCATTTCATTTGTTCTGAGCAAAAAACAGTAGGAGTTGCATATGGCGTTGGTGGTTGGAGCAAGAAGGGTGTGGATGCGAGCTATTATGCGCGAGGATTAATGGCTAATACTGTGATAGCAATTTATGATCAAACCGAAGGACCTATTGATCCAAAGAGTGTCTTGAATGAAGCTTTCTTAAAAACTTAGCTCAAAGGATCCTTCACAGCTTGCATTATAACCCTCATCGGCAATATATGTCATCCGTCCATTTGCTCCTTCCTTGTTATAAATGTGCTTTTTTTTATTCTCTTAAGGCAAAAGGATATATTTTTAACTAATTTGCAATCTTTGTTTTTAATTATTGTAAAACTTGCATGCTGCTAACATTGGAGATAGTGGATTTTTGCTGCTAAAAGGTGGTGAAGTTGTATACCAATCACCAGTGCAGCAGCCTAGATTTAACTGCCCATATCAGCTTGGAAAGAGCAATGATTCCCCCAGCTCAGTGCAGGTTAGTGCTATTATTAATCTATTGTTATTTATGCTTAACATTAATACTGGGTCAAATTGGGATTGCCCCCTGAAGAAGACAGTCATTAGAATACTAGTTGCATATATAACATATATAGTTCTTTTAATTTTTAACATTTTGATTTTGTACTAATTATAAATATTTGGTCCATAGGAGCTCACTTTTTCATGGTGTGGAAGAAGAGTACACCCCACAACAATTAGCTTGGTCTCTAGCATAGTTTGCTCACAGTTGTTCTTTCGACAGATTAAGTTCTAGTCCATTCGAAATAGCTGTTGAAGAGGCAAGAATGGAACACATGGGAGGTAAAGTTGACAACATCACTGTCATTGTTGCTTATATCAGACCAATGGACTGGTTCTTTCTTCAGCAACAAAACAAAAAGAAAAAGAAAAAAAAAAAAAGAAAAAAAAGAAAGAAAAAAAAAAAGGAAGAAGAAGAATGCTAATGCTATGGATAACACGACATTATAGGAGTTTTTGCAGAGAAGTTCCAAGTGAATTTGTGCATATGATTAAGTTGATTCGTGTAATTGTTCCAAATTGTTGGTGATTTACAATTGCAAAATGTATCAAATTACCAATTTTTTTTAATTGGATGTGAAATTTGTTTTATGTGATGGTATGATGATATATTCTTGCCCATTTTTCAGAATTTGAGATATGTTGATGGTCTTGGTTTGCTTCGTTGTATATCTGATCTTTTTGGGTTATTTGTTTATTTATTTATTTATTTTACCATGTGGAGATTTAGTAGGAATTGCCATTCCAAGTTGAGTGGCTCTACATGTGTTGTGTTAAGCTAGGAATACAAATAACAGTGGCTGTAACTATTTTGATTCTAACTTTATACAAATAACAGGAGCTGTAACTATTTTGATTCTAACTTTATGAGAATTCTTCAACAAATTAGTGCAATTAGTTATGACAGTATGTTCAGGAGATTGGTAATCCAATCATTAGCAATATTCAAGCCAAACATGACAAGTAATATATTGTACAAATGATAATCATAGTGACTGGTCAAGTAAGTTGAATAAGGATGGTCTAAACCTATATGTTAAAAATACAGTAAATGGCACCCTCTTCTTTTTTTTTTTTTAATATATATATATATATATATATATATATTTTGCCTTGATTTTATATATGAAGCTTGTTGGCTGCATTGGGTTTATATCTCTATCTTCCGCCTATAATCCAGTGGGCAGAGAAGTATGGGAGTGAGAGCTCTAATTGTGCTGCTTATCATGGGTGCATTGCAAAGCTCTCATGTAAAACCCTAAAGACGCTAAATGATTCTTCTATCCTAGTCCACTTTGAGGTTCTGTGCAAACTAGCTGCCATTGCGGTATGTGATACAAATAGTTCCTATTAACAATAAACTGATAAATTATAATGTGACATATACTTGCACAACCATGATGTATTTAGATTTCCAAAGTTCAAACTCTTTCTATTGCACAAAAAATGACTATATTTGTCTGGCAACATTGTGACATGATTATTTTCTTCATATTCTATCCTCACGGGTTGAGTTAATTATGCAATGGAAATGAAATTTGATGAGTCTCCGTAATTTAGGGTTAGAAGTCTTATCTATAATGTCGTGAAAGTAATCATCAGGCAAGAGACTAGACTGATACAAGTGCTCAATTGCAATTAACTTTATGGTGCTGACGGACTCAGTCAGACTCAGTAACGTCTATCTCTTAGGATACAACGACTTTTGTTTATTCGATAATAACACTGCAAATCGAAAAAATGGGCGAACCGGCTCGGTGTAATACTCTCTTCTACATACCGGACTCACTCACACACTATAACTATATGTATGCAGAGAAGAAAATGAGAGAGAGAGAGAGAGAGAAAATTCAGAAATCTGTAAAGAAGATTCTGAACGGTGTACTTTGCGAGAAAATTCAGAAATCTGGAAAGAAGATTCTGAACGGTGTACTTTGCAAATGAACCTGTGGGGTTATTTATAGGCAACTAGGTGCCTTTCCAATTCCGCTCCTACTCGGTGACGGATTATATGGTATACTATCCCGCTCCTACTCCGGTAGACAAAATACCTACTCCACCCTATGTCCTCCATTTAATTGCAGGGCGTGTCGGGACAGGTTTAGTTATGTTACTTTTATTATGTAATAAAATAATAAAATTTAGCACAATGTGTTCAAATTGATCTAATTTTAAAATTACTAAGTATTGAATATTAATATATTAACAGAGATTTTCAACAAAGTAATAAGGGTCTTAAAAATACTAAATATATATAAAAAATTTAAAGGTACATATATAATCGAGGCAGGTTCATAACTAAATCTGCCCCTATCCCAAACTCGCCTTAGAGTTTTCAATTATTTTATCATACTCGTTTCAAACTAATTTAAGGGGCTACCAAATCTAGCCAATTAAAAATAAAATTGGCGAAAACTTCTTAGTCTAGAGAAATTGCCATCCCTCGATTTTTCTATTAAAAAATACTAGCACACGATCAATTCAAGAGAACAATGCCTGCAAGTGTAGGTCGTAAAGGCATAATTGGAAATCTCCTAATAATAGGAACAGGGGCCATAAACATTTTTGTTAAACGTGTCACAAACTTTGAGAAAAAAAAAAAGGACAAATTTGTCTAATTATAATTTAATTTGTGATTAAATGCTCCAACACCCCCTTAGATTTGCCTTTATTACTCACAATTAAACTAAAAAAAAAGACCCTAATCCTTATCTTAGATTTGGTTAACTTTGCCCTGACATACTCTTTCGTTAGTTGATAGTTAGAAAACTCAAACGTCAACTAATTAAAAAAATATAATGTCAAAACTACCCTTCCACAATTTAAGTCATTTCAATTTGGACACAAATATCAGCCTAAATTAAGATATATCATTCTAATTTACACATAAGTCATGAATCAAAGAAGTGCATGTACCATATGTGTAAGAATATAGAATTCCTCCATGATTGAATCAAAGAAGTGCATGTACCATATGTGGTAGAATATGGAATACACCCATTAGTGGGCATCTCATGGAAAATCTAAAAAACAACATTTAGTGTTCTCAATCTCGTTTGGTTCCTGTTTTCTTCTTTAAATCAATTCAATGAAATTATTATAAAATTGATTAATATGATGAATATATATTTTTTTAAATCAATGCAATAAAATTATTATGAAATTGATTTTGAATCATGATACACAAGTTAGCTAATTAAACTAATAATATAAATCGACTACAATATGATTATTTAATATACTTTATATAATGTTCATAATATGATGTCATCTTTTTTCTCTATTTATTTCTACCTTTTTTTTTCTGTCTTTCTTCATTTTATGAATTGAATTGATTAGAAGTACTAAAACATTAGTCAACATGAAGCATATAATTAGTTTTACCAATCATATATCTCAATTAAACATCCAACAATATATTAATATAATTTCACAATATGTTTAATCCAGTTACTCTCATACTCGACGATTTCCAGTAAGTATCTAAAGCTGGTGATTAACGCCACCTTTCTAATATTGCTTTGTCATCCCCAAGTCAGCAAGTTAAATAAAAAATTTACTAATTTACACTTTATTTTACTATATATATGAATACTGTTGAGGCTGAAATTCGCGCAGTCCGATACAATACCGTTTTCCTGCAAGTAAGAGAGGAGAAGATCGATGAACCTTGATGGCACCGGTATGGTGCCTGCCAAAAGCTCTCCGACGATCAAATTAGTCACGGAGGTCTAAAAAGAAGGCAGGGATCAATAATAGTTTTTTACCTCGTCCCTTCTTCAATGGCTTGATGCCCTATTTATGGCTGTGGATTGGAATCAAAATCGTTCTGCTGATGTCGATGGTTGACCTTATCTTCCGCTTGTGCGAAATTATAGGAGATTTATTATCAGATTTGTCGGGATATGATTTAATCCTTTTAACCTTCTCCAGTTATAGTAGGATTATTCTTACTTGTTGAACAACGTCAGATTTGATTTCATTATCCTTGATAATGAAATCTAACCAATCTTATCGATGGTAGGGTAGGTTTATATTTTTCCTTATCAGTTGCCCCCCATTTCCAAGCTTGCACGTGTAGCTTTGGGAATGTAATAAATAATAATAATACTTTTTCTTTTTCTTTTTTTTGCTTTTTTTTTTTTCCAACCCCGGTGAACAGTACCCGCGGGTACTATTCACGTAAATAGTAACTCAAGGAATTTTTTTTTTTTGCACCCGAGGGAACAGTACCCTCGGGAGGGTACTGTTCCTGAATAGTTTTTTTTTTTTTTTTTTTTTTTTTTTTTTTTTTTGCACCCAAGGGAACAGTACCCTTGGGTACTGTGAATAGTAATAATATTTTTATTTTTTATTATTTTTTTTTTTTTGCACCCGAGGGAACAGTACTCTTCCTTTTATAAGGGAATAAATTATACGAGTTTCACTCCTTAATAAGGGAATTGAACTTGACGAGTTTTACTCAACTTGTCCCTTTAGTAAAGGAATTGAACCTTACGAGTTTTACTCAGCTCACCTCTTTAATAAATGATTTTTATTTACTATCCCTTATTGTAAGGGGATATTAATTATGGGATTCATCCAACCTAGGTCCTTGTAGTACAGGACATTCATTTATTATCCCTTATATTACAGGGATATGGATTACGGGATTCATTCAACCCGGGTCCTAATAATACAAGATACTTATCCCCTATAGTCCAGGGATATGGATGACGGGATTCATTCAGCCCGGGTCCTTGTAATACAGGACACTCATTTACTATTCCCTTTAGTACGGGGATACAGATTACGGGATTCATTCAGCCCGGGTCCTTGTAATACAGGACACTCATTCACTATCCCTTATAGTACGGGGATACTGCACGTATAAACTAAAAGGAATTTTATTAAAGACCATCATTATTAAAAACAAAATAACACGTGATGGAGCTACCCTCCATTTAAAATGATTAATTAAGATGCCCCCAGTCTTTATCGTGAATGACTTGATAAGGTTAATTCCAGCCGCGAGACAATTTCTAGTCGGTATACTCATCTGAGTCATTCTCATGGTATGTGCTGTCACTCTAGCTGAAGAACGATTTCTTATATTTGGTACTATTTTCATCCCTAGCGAGAGGGGCTGGCCTCTTCTTGTCCTCTCCTTCCTTCCGTGCACTCATGGTGTTTTCAGCGTTGATGTGTTTTTGCGCTCTGACCAGCAACTCTATCATGCTGGTGGGAGGTTCTTTTGATAAGGAGAACAAGAATCTGGAGGTTTGGAGTCCTCCTATGAAAGCGGTCAAAGCTACCTTGTCGTCCGCCTCTTCTACCTGCAACATCTCTGCGTTGAATCGGGTGATGTATTCCCGAATCGACTCTTCCTTTTGTTGCTCTACGGTAAACAGGTAGGTAGCCGGCCTCCTATGCCTCTGACCTGCAATGAAGTGGCTCACAAACTACTTACTCAATTCTTCGAAGGTGTTGATGGTTCCTGGCTTCAACTTGTTGAACCAAAGTCTCGCTGATCCCTTAAGTGTAGTGGGAAAAGCTCGGCACATGATTTCATCTGGCACAGCGTGTAAATGCATAAGAGCTTGAAAAGTTTCCAGGTGATCGAGGGGATCTTTGGTCCTATCGAAGCTTTCGAACGAGGGCATCCTGAACTTGCTAGGTAGTGGACATTTCATAACGGCGGGGTTGAAAGGCAAGTTGGTCCTTTGTACCAGGTCATCTACGGCGGCAGGATCTTTCCCTTTCATAGCCTGCATTACATCTTCCATTTTCCCCTTGAGATCCTTGATCTGCAAGTCGAGATGGGTAACTTTCTTTGTCTTTTCCTTAAGACAGAAGGCTATGCTTTCAGGAGGTCGGGAACTCCGTAGGAGAGATGGGTGAACCACCTCTCTATGTCGGGTTCCCACCTGGCTTTGTTCCACTTCAGTCTCATTTTGGGGGGAATGATTATCCCTCTCTTCAAGATTTTCATTAGCTCCATTTGGACTTGAGAGATCTTGTCCTAGAAAGTTTTGTTGAACCGGTGGAATAAGGTGTTGCAAGAGCGTTGCATTTTGCTGAATCAACTGGTTCATACCCTGACTCAGAGTTTGAACCTATAGTTCCAATGTTGCAAACCGTGCCTGGTCGTTTGGGACGTCTAGGTTTTCACCTGACTCTACCCTTTGACCAGATCCCTGTGACGGTGTTCCTTCGGTAACCATACCGGACTGCAAACGTATATACCCAACGAGTATTTAATTGATTCAAGGGAATCGTGATTCCCACAGACGGCGCCAACTGTCGAGGCTGAAATTCGCCCAGTCCGATACAATACCGTTTTCCTGCAAGGAAGAGAGGAGAAGATCGATGAACCTTGACGGCACCGGTGTGGTGCCTGCCAAGAGCTCTCCAACGATCAAATTAGTCACGGAGGTTTAAAAAGAAGGCAGGGATCAATAATAGTTTTTTACCTCGTCCCTTCTTCAATGGCTTGATGCCCTATTTATGGCTGTCGATTGGAATCAAAATCGTTCTGCTGATGTCAATGGTTGACCTTATCTTCCGCTTGTGCGAAATCATAGGAGATTTATTACCAGATTTGTCGGGATATGATTTAATCCTTTTGACCTTCTCCAGTTATAGTAGGATTATTCTTACTTGTTGAACCATGTCAGATTTGATTTCATTATCCTTGATAATGAAATCTAACCAATCTTATCGAGGGTAGGGTAGGTTTATATTTTTCCTTATCAAATACTATATATACAAATACTGCTTTATACAGTTATACTTTATATGATATATTATACAACTAAAAAATATATACCATTTAACTTTACTTTTTTATTTAAATTAATAATACCTTTTTACTTCTTTTCTTCTGTATCGGGAAATCGTTCAGCTCTAGTTCGCTTTTAAAACAATGTAAAATGCGTTCCAAAATCTGGTTTTACAGATTTTTTATGTTTATCAGAACTAATAACTCAGACTTCAAATTCTTTGGATAACCAAAATAATCCTGGTTGTCTCTAAATAAGATAATACCTAATAGTTGTTTTCTCATTTTGAAAAAAAAATACAAAAAATAAAAATCACAACTTCTCACTTACAATTGCCAAATAGCTAGAATCTTCTTTCCGAAATAGGTGTGTTTTTGTTTCTTTGAAAATAGAACTCATTAATCACAAAGTATCACTTTATGTAATGTGTTCTGGATTTGATTTACGTTTGGATTTTGTTTTTTTTGAAGAGAGAGCTCGTTAATCATAAAGTATTACTTTATGTAATGTGTTCTGGATCTGCTTTACATTTGATCCGGTTTTGCTTCTTTCAGACTTAATTTTGACGAGGGGAAGTTTTCATTTTGTTTTCGGGGAAGGTTTCATTTTTTCTTTAATTTTCAACTTTTCTACCACTTATTTTGTCAAGTGGGACCCATAAAGTGAAAATTAAATTCATTAAATATTGCAATATATATATATATATATATATAGAAAAGTAGAAAATAAGTGGTCCCACAATTTATTAAATTGCAATATATTTAATGAATATATTGCAATAAATTCATTAAATATTGCAATATATATATATATATATATATATATATATATAATACCAAAGCTGTATGTATAAATTGAAAATTTGGTAAATACAAATTTAACCAAAAGCAACTTTTGCGTCCACTTCAATAGACGCGCATGGGCATAGAAGGATTTCAAAGCGAAACTGTTATGAAAGCTGGGACGAATCTATTGACGTGACGAATTCGTTCGTCCACTTGCTGCGTGCAGCTGTAAACACAAGGCAGTACGCCCTCAAATTTAGGAAAAGAGAGGCAAAGGCCGCCTGAAACCTTACATCATTGCTGCCCCGTCAACACCAAATGCAACGAAAGAATTGACTAGCCATCTAACTGCTTTAAAACGTCCGAGCGATTCCCCAAGTAAGAAACCTTTCTTTTCTTGTATCCAAAGAAGGCCCAACTGTAATTTCTCCACACCCATTAAGAAAGGGGATGAGAAGACTGCGCAAGTAAGAAACCTTTAAAGTGTCAAGTTAGCATTTTTACCCCAAACCAATCCAGTTAGAGAGTAACTGGAGATGATTTTTTTTTTTTTTTTTTTTTTTCACTAGTTTAATATGCGAGTAATAAAGGCAAACACGAGGGTATCAGAGCATACCCTTTAATTTATTATAGGAAAGACATTTATGTAATATAATATCAATTGGTCACTAACTCTCATTTAAGTTTTAGATTTGGTCACTATTTATAGTTTTTTGACTTTATGGTTATTTGTAGAGTATAGAGCAATTTTGTTTAGATTTAATCACGAAAATATAATTTTTCCCGTACTACTAATTAGGAAGAGACCTCTAAAAGCATAACCAATGAATTGCAATTGATGGCCAACTATTTCAAAATAATAATTGTTTTTGAAAATTATTTTTAAAAAATCTTATTTTTGTATTTTAGAAAAAAGTAAAAAATGTATAAAAATAATTAAAATTGATACACTTTTTAAAGTAGGATTGATATAGATATGGATAAGAGTTTCGATTATGAAAATTAATTAGTTTATTTGTGATTTGAGGCTTGGATCTGAAGTTCAAAAGCTTAAAAAATACTCCATTTAATATAAAATTCTTGACAAACGCCTTCGTAACCTAACATGTGGGTTGCTTCCTGCTGTTCTTGGGAATCTAGTTTCTAGTCTTGGCACCTCCAACTTCCTAATTTAACATTCTTTCTTGAAATATATATATATATATATATATATATATATATCCCACGTTTGGGGATCCAACATTTTGGTACAGTAGGTTTTTAACATTTTGTTATTATTATTATTATTTTTAAGGATGCAAGACTTGTACATAAATTCTCAAACACGAGAAGCAATCGATTAATCGAATAATACAATACTTGCGACCAATGCCATATAAGTGATTACCATTCCAAAAAAGTGTTTCTACATATCAAGCATTAACCTTTATAATGGCAGATTTGAACTCTTATACTTCCTCTAGTGGCTCTTGGTCCATGTATTTTCTGTACTATCTTCTCTCTATAGCTGTATGGAATAATTGATTTTAAATATTGAAAAGATGATTTATTTTGTTAATACATAGCTTTATGTGTGCCAGTTTTTATATATATATATATATATATATATACACGTATGGGTAATTATAAAAATATAATTTTTCCTTGCTTAACCAATAACATTTCAGTTAGTTTCACAAAAAAAAATATAAAAAGAATTTCTCGAATGTAGGGGTGGCAAAATCTTTAAATTTGGTGGGTCCTCGCCCTGCCCCATTTAGGACAGGTTTGGGACCCTTTTATGCATATGGGAATGGGGGTAGTTTTTGAAACCCCGACAAGGGCGGGGATAGGATAAACCCGTCTAGCTTGTCCTGTTTAGGGTGTACATTTACTAAAATACCTTTGTATATTATGATATATTACTAAATTAGATTAAGTATAGATAAAAAAAACACTTTTGAAATACACTTAAAGAAAAATTATAATTTGGTTGTGCTGAATCTTGAACTTTGAGATTGAGAAAATTATGTGCTAAAAAAAATTATAGTGTCTGTTAATCGATTATGAGAGAGGGGGAGGGGGCGGGAGTGAAATTTTAAACGAGAATAAAGTGTGGATAGGGATAAATAAAATTTACTAGGCATGGAGATGGCTAGGGAATGAGATCCCCGCCCTATTGCCCTAGTCACACATGTACATGTATGTTCAATTTTATTTTATTTTTATTTTTATTTATTTTTTTTTCCCTTAAAATAAGTGTATTGATCCTACAACACATGAACTATTCAAGTCAGGAATGCGGTTCGTTCAAGTCAGGAATGCGGTTCGAAAACGAGACCTCGCGGATTTATCTCCCAGATCCATTCAAACGCCATTATGCCCCTAGGGACTAAATGTATATTCATTCTATGTGATTACTTCTTTTAAAGTCACATTATTTTAGTGAACCTTATATTATTTCCCTACCTGTGCATATTGCATAGTGAAAATAGGAAATGAATCAAGTAATGTATGTTTTCTGATTTGAAAAAAAAAAAAAAAAGGAAAAGAAAAGAAAAAATATATATGATATTTCATAATTTTATAAGATTTTAATCACGTGCCCTAGTAACAATTTGAAATTAAAAGACACATTATAATTCTTTATTTTTTTTAATGATATGATTAAAATTTAACATTTCGTTCACTTATTTAAAATAAAAACTTAACAGTCCATTATGTATAAAACTTTTATACATATTTCCATTTGTGTAGCATATAAATTCTATATTATCCAAATTGTAAAAAATTTAAAGAAGATAAATAATTATTAAGGGCACGAATGTGGAAACAAATTGTAACCTAATTCATTTCCATTTTCGGGTGTATGTTTGTACCTTGAGCCAAAATTCCCGGCGAAACCACCGTCGATTTGCCAATTTTCCCGGCGGAACCACCGTCGTCTCCGGCGAGCCTCCTTGTACTGATATATACTACTTGCCATAGACATAGAGATTGATGCGAAGAAACGATGCCGTCCCAAGCGGATCTGGATCGTCAGATAGAGCAGTTGATGGAGTGCAAGCCACTGGCGGATGCGGAGGTGAAGACGCTGTGCGATCAGGCGAGGGCGATCTTGGTCGAGGAGTGGAACGTACAGCCTGTGAAGTGTCCCGTCACCGTCTGCGGCGACATTCACGGACAGTTCCATGACCTCCTTGAGCTGTTTCGCATTGGCGGTGCTGCTCCCAACACCAATTACCTCTTCATGGGAGATTACGTTGGTCAGTTCAATTACTTCATATATATATACTAATTTAATGTTAATTCGAGGTTTAATTTTCTTCACATTGTGTTCTTTGTGGTGGATGTGATGTGAATGTTAATGTTAATCTGGTGTTTTGGTTTTATCATTGCTTGAGAAGAGGAAATGTCAGGTTATAAGGTTTTGATTAATCAGACAATGACAGAGGAGTTGAATTAGGATTACTACAACTCAAAGAGTTTTCGTATTAGTTGAGGGATTTCACCAATTTAGGTCTGATGAACTATAGTTTTTTTTTTTTTTTTTTCCCTGAATTGATCAAGTATAGTTGGTAATGCAACTCACACAAAAATTAAAATAAAATAGAGATTTTATGAGAGAGATGAAGATGAGAATAAGGTATAAATGAGACTAACTGGCCTTGTGTAGCTTTTGAGGAGGGCCGCGTTCCCCTTTTGAATGCTTTTGATACAATCATTACTTATAAAAAAAGTATAAATGAGACTAATTAAATAAGGAGAAATTTATAGTTGATTTGGGGACTCCCTCACTTTAGAGGGCTACTAATCTCTAATGAGTCTCTACTTGGGTATTCACTCACCCAAAATTGGGACTCATTCACTATCTAGAAGACCTTATACTCAATGAGACTCATGTTCACCCAAAATTATTAAGCAGGTCCACTCAGAACTTTATCATTTTTCCGAATATCTGATTTATAAAGGTGTCCGAAGCTAGCCATTCTAAAGTAGATGTTAGAGAGAGAATTCAAAACAATGATTTGGGAAACTAGCTGTTACTTAATTTGAGGATAATTCCATGCATGCAGTACTCCGAATAGCTACATTACATCAATCTCCTCCTCCTGGAAAGAAATCTTCTTCGGGTTAAATTTTGCAAGCGTTTCCATCATGGTCAGGCTTTCCTAATTCTCCTTCCCTATTGCATGCAATTGGTATGGCTTAATTTTCAACATTGGGATGTCATAAAATTGTTCGACCTCTATGAAGCAGTGACCTTCTATCAAATGGAATGAATTTGCATCAATTTTGAGAATCTATAATCAAGAATAATAAAAAAATTAAAATGTATCAATATTTGGTCAATTCAAGAATGAACTCTATGCCTATGTCATTCCATGGATGGTAAGTAATGGTATTGGTTGATACAACCCACAACTTTGTATACCACCATTGGTCTTTTGGCACTCTGCAATTTCAAATGCACTGCTTTGTCTCACATTTTATATTGATCCAAAAGTAGCGGTCTTTAACCGAAGATATGGTGTTGCACCTACTAAATTGACCTTCTAAACCACCAAAAATTACTTTTGAAAAAATATTATCTCAAATTTGCTCGAAGAATGCAATATTAGTTTCCATTAAAAAGATGAACACAACTAAAAATATAATTGGTACTACCTATGCAAGCAAGATGGTGAGTTAATTGATCATATCTTCGAGCAAATTTGAGATAATATTTTTTCAAAAGTATAATTTTTTAAAGTGATGATTTCATAACATTAAAAAATTACAAAGAACTGGAAGCTAATATTGCATTCTTTAAAAATATAATTTTTAATGTTATGAAATCATCACTTTTTTTATTCTTCCCAAAATTTTCTAAAGTATGGTAACTATCTTAAAATGTTGTAATATAAATACTCTTTTAGGAATTTAGAAAACGAAGGCTTTCATGGTTATTTTTGCAACATGAATTAGTCAAGTTGGGGCTGCTACATTATGGCCTTGATCATTGGTTGCATTAGTCAAGTTATCATGGAATCAAGTAGAATACTGATCACCCACTAAATCTTAGCAAAAAGAAGATTGAAACAAAGAAATTCCAATTTGATTCCTAAAGTGACACACACACACGACAGTATACGAAAACCAAAAGAAGATTGAAACAAAGAAATTCCAATTTGATTCCTAAAGTGATATACACACACACGACAGTATACCAAAACCTGAGCGCAAGACAAGATTGAAAGAATACCATACGAAGGTTGAACCTTTGGAGATTAACGGGTGGCAGATTTGACAGTTTCCAAATTCAAGGCCGTGGAACTACAGTTTTCATGCTTTACTCTCCATGACATCCTTTGTTTAATGATGGGATGCGGCTATACCCGTCGAGAGAGAAATTGAGGATGGGAAGTTTGTAGGGTTACCAGAAAAGCAATTGAATAGACCTGGGGCAGTTGAAAAAACAGGGAAGGAGTTGGAGAGTAAAGCAGTAAATAGTTAATGACATTACCAATGAATTCCATATGTGTTGATTACTATTTGAGCCAGGCTGAGCTTTGGACTGAGCTAGGTTCAGGCCTTAATATTCGTCCAAGCTTGGTAATTGATATTAGACCTTGACCAGCCAAATTGAGTGTCCTACTCCTACTTCGAGCCTACGTAAGCTTTACCTTGAAAAGTGTGTATTTCTATTATGCATATTGCGGCACGGTCTTCCATCTTTTCAAAGTAATTAATGGTTATACTTATCAAAAAAGAAGAAGTAATGAATGGTTATTCACATCCTCATTCATGAATCATGCTCCCTATTTTTAAATAATCATATTTCCTTCTTTTCTGAATTAGTGATATTCGTTTTGATTTTCAAATTTTTCACATTTAATTATTTGTGTAAGTCCTATATTCTCACGCATTATTTTTGGACCTTTAAATTTAAGATTTCATATTTCAAGCGTGGTGTTTACTAATGCAGATCGAGGGTACTATTCAGTGGAGACTGTCACACTTTTAGTGGCCTTGAAAGTTCGATATAGAGATAGAATTACAATTCTTCGAGGAAATCATGAGAGCAGGCAGATAACTCAAGTGTAAGACTTCTATACTTTCCAAGTCTAGCCATTTTTGAAGATGCAATTTTGATATCTATGGTATCGGATAACATGTCTTCTAATGCTTGTTAGCAACTTTAAGTGTCCATAGTCCCAGTGTTGTTTTTTCAGTTAACTTTTTAAGCAAATGGTATGAATATCTTAAAGTATAATCTGAATTTTCTTCTTCTTCTTTCTTCTTCTTCTTCTTCTTCTTCTTCTTCTTCTTTTTTTATTTATTTTTATTTTTATTTATTTTATATATTTATTTTTTAACATAGGGTTTTGCAGTTCTATGTAATTTTTAGAGTTGGTGAAAGTATTGTGATATATTGGACGATGAGACAATCTGAGAGTGCAGAGAGATATAATTTTTTTTTTTTAAATTTTTAAAAAGAGGGTGGACAATTATCTAGTGTGAATCATCTTACGAGAATAGAGTATGGTGTTGATTAACTGGAAAAGGTATGCGTAAAATTATTTCCCTCTGATAATCATCCACACACTTGGAATTTTTCTTAATGCCTGAAAGTTGCAAAGGTGTCCTATAAATGAGTATTTTATTACCCCCAAGGTTCTATGATTTTTTTTTTTAACTTAGATAACTACCTTTCTTCAGAAAATTCTAAATATAGGGGCAATAGTTTATGCTTTATTCTTACAAAGGTGGGAGAAAAGATCAAATTAAAATTGATTATTAATTTTAAATTTGAAACTCGTGTAATTAACCACTTTTTGTTTATCCAAAAAAAAAAAAGGGTATAGTTGTATGAGAAATCTCATTCAATTAGATATTATAGATTATAATGGGCCACTAAAAGTATTGACTGTTGAGCCATATGAGGTGAGAATCTCTCAAATACGATTCTGAGGGAAGGAACTGACTTGCTTATTCTGACCGCAGAGCACAATCCTATAATTTTACCGGGAGATCCCAAATGTTGTTGAGGCTATTCATAAACTTAGACAAGACGTGAGAGAGTACCAAGTGATATGATTTGGTGACCTACAAATAAAAGGAATATCTATTAAATCTTATTTAAAATTATCATGGATAGGTATACGGATATGAGGATTAGAGTTCATACTATATATGGAGAAACCAATGATTTTTGTATAAAAATAGGATTATGCTAAGGGACAACACTAAGCCCATACCCATTCATTATATTTCTGGATGAAATAAGAAAATATATATAAAGAGACATTTAATGGTGCACATTATTTGATGTTTTTGTTTTATTAGATAATCCTAAGAAGATATTAATAAAAAAATGAGAACTTGGAGAAATACATTAAAATCAAAAGGTTTAAAATGAGCAGCTAGTTTGGCATGGATGTGACAATACAACTACTCATAAACTAAACCCAAAGAACACTTGTCTTCTGGGTTGGATGATTATCCACGTGCATCTCACCTTAGTGATGAAGAACGCCACTTGGAACCTATATGTTGGGTGCTTCTTGCAGCAAATTGCATGCATTCCATCTCAAAGCTTTTTAAGAAGGAAAATGCAAGTGGGGAAGGAGTACGGTTTGACAGCTAAGTTATTCTCACATTTTGAATTTCTAAATCAGATGCACTTTGATGATGCACATGGAGCTTACTTTGATTTCAGGAATCACACAGAAAAGGTTAGTTTGAGTTGGCGAACAGTAAAGGAAAGCAACAATTATTCAAGTAGAGAGCTTGTCAGAAAAGAACTAAAGACGCCAAAGTTGAGGTTGGTTCCTTTTATTGGATATGTTGGCCTTTTCCCATTTGTGGGGAGGATCATTTCACCTGAATCCTGGATCCTAGAAAAATAACTTAGTCTGATTTCTAACCAGAGCATCTTATGGACTGACTATGGCATCTGCTCTCTTTCCAATTCAATCTCATTGTACATGAAATATAACACAGCGTGACCCACCATTTGGATGAATATCAATTACATGAGTCTTTCTTCATTTCACTACTACTCTAGAGAAGATGGACCATATAAAGACAATGCTATGATCATATACAATGATCTGAAGAGCAATTTGATCAGAAACTTGGTTTGTAACTATGATCAGGTTAGGTATGTGTGGGAATAATATAATCAGAAAAGGCGAAAGGAAAAGGTGCATGCTTATTTACTAGTTGGACATCACTTGTGCCGTTGATTACCAACTTGTTTCAACAAATGGAGGGGATGTCCAGTTTCTGTTTGTACTTGGATTACCGATAGTGAGGGTTGGAGGATTTAAATATTAAAGGTAGACCCTCTCTAACAGCCTTATTTTTTAGAGTAGTTGGTGGTTAGTTAACATGGTCTCAAAGTAGGGAAGGTCTTGAGTGATGTAGGACTTCAAGAGCAGCCTCAAATGGTACAAAAATAAAGATTTTAGTGCCTGAAAATTCAGATAATCAGGTCTGTGGTTTGAGATGTGTTAGTAGAGAGAAAGGATTTGAAATAACACCCCATTGGAGTCACACCAATAAACCTAGGCCTCACACCTAAAGGAGGCCTCACACTCCTAATTTGTGACTCACTCACAAGGAAATTTCAAAACACATTTTATTATTCATTCATTTACTCCTCAGCAAGATTACACTCCATCCCTTTGTATGATTCTGCTCATGCCTTAGACTTTTGGACTTACCTCATAATTGAGGTAATCAATAAGACTTTACTGCATCATAATATCCATCAAGCTGATAAATTTATAACTCATGATTCATGACAATAAAGGAAACCCATCTTTCAATGCTTCATAATATCCACCAACCTCATAAATGATGCAACTTGACCAAAACCCTCAATTTTCAGGATTCCAAGTGGACCCCCATCATCTAGCATATGCCAATTTAAGGCTTGAGCCTTATATTCCCCGTTTCCGCACCTTCAAAAGCTGCTGCTACTGATCTCCATCACTAAGTTTAAACCTCACTGTCACACTGATATTTAAATTGAAACACATGTTGGACCAAAAGAAGGCCACACATGAGGGGGCATGTTGGAGGATTTAAATGTTAGAGGTACACCCTCCGTAATAACTTAAGCGTTTAGAGTAGATGGTGGTTAACAAGGAGTTCCTAAAACCTATCTCCTGATCTTTATGAACAATTTCATCCCTTTACATCGTTGGGGTCGAATTTTTCCAAGATGGGGAGAATTGATGGAGATCAGTGGCAGCAGTCTTTAAAGGTTTATACATAAAATCTTAATTTGGCATATGCTTGATGTGGGGTCCACTTGGAGTCTTAAATAATTGAGGCATTTTTGTAATTTTAAGAGTTGTGAGTCTTATTGATTACCTCAATTATGAGGTAAGTCCAAAAGTCGTGAGTTAACCTCCATGTAAGTCAGGTATGAGTAGAAATCCTATAAAAGGGATGGATGTAATCTTGGTTGAATCAATGGTCAGATATCTTGTGAAATTTCCTTGTGAGTGATTTACAAATTATGAGGGTGTGAGACATCTAGGTGTGTTGCCTAGACCAGTTGGTGCGACTCCAATAGGCTGCTCTTATTCCATTTCTTTTCTCCTTGATTTTTCAACATCTCTACTATCAAACCTCAAATTTCAGTCCTGATTATTTGAATATTCGGCTCCTGCACTCTTTAATTTTCAGTTATATAAGGCTGTTCCTAAAGTCCTACATCAGTTTGGTATCAGAGTCAATCCCCAACCAGAATACGGGGGGAGCATGGACAAGCCCATGAGGGTTGCGCCAGCGAGGACGATGGGTCACAAGAGGTGTGGTTGTGACACCCCTCATCGCAATTTCTTATTGTAGTATTTTACCCTGTCCAGAGTTTAGCAATTCATTATGGAAGCTATAGCAAAAAGGTTGCTCCAGAATGAAGATTGGGTGATCCCTACTCTACCTTTCATGGCAAGGAAAAAGATGATTTTTGTTCAGCAAAGGTTTAAACTGTGGGATTTACGGGGAAATGTAAGTTAAAATGAAGAACTGTCCTAGAAGGAGTGGCCTTTGCAGGGGGCAGGGGATTAGGTGGGTCTGGAGGTGGGAGGATTTTCATGGTTTGAGATTTTTGTTGCATTAATGCATGTAGAGTGATGATGAAAGTCGTGAAGTGTTGATGATTTATTCTGTCTTCTTACTATATTGCCATATATTCGCCATATGCTGACATTATTGCTAGATTTTCATCATTTATGATGGGCTATGGATTTCTGGCTAATATCAGTGTAGCACACATTTGGGCTTTATTTACATCGGAAAATATTTCCTAGTAAACTAGCTGGGTATCATCTGACTCTTGTGAGGATCGTAATTATGACTGGCTCCTGAAGCCACTGCCAATCTTCCTTGCCTCTTTTCTATTATTTTCTTATTAATATGTTTTGGTAGACAGTAGGAAACTGATTATTTTCTAACTAGATGGATCATGTGAGGAGAGGGTACTTTGAATGTGTGGTACATAGTTTTGGCCTCTGCGTTCTTTTTTAATTCGAGAATTGCACACCTTGCTGTTGTGTGGTTTCAGAAGGGGGAAGGGTGCTAGATCTAAATTCTTCCATTATCTAATCATTTTTATGCGAAGTTTTCGGTTTGAGTCAACTTGGCAGTTTCTCTTTCCAGGTATGGGTTCTATGATGAATGCTTGAGAAAATATGGAAATGCAAATGTGTGGAAATATTTCACTGACCTTTTTGATTATCTTCCGCTTACAGCCCTTATTGAGAGTCAGGTAGGAATTCTATATAGCACTGCTTTTAGTTTATTTTCCCATCATATCATCTTACAGCCATTTGTTGTTACCTTGCAGATTTTCTGCTTACACGGTGGACTCTCCCCTTCACTAGATACACTAGATAACATCCGTGAGCTGGACCGTATACAGGAGGTACATGTTCAATTATCCTCTGCTATGGTATTTCTAAATGTGATTCCTGGATATGTTTATGTTCCAAGTTCCAACTGTAAATTTATTTGGTCATCTTCATGAATGTGTCATAGCGGCGGGGAAAAACCTGAAGCCATGTTGTCATATTGTTGTTATAGTTTTCATTGATTATTGCAATGATAAGAAATCAGCTCACAAGTGTGAGGATTGGAGTTGAATCCAAGAGCGGGCCACTTCCTGCAAAATTAATGTCAATGTTAGGTTTGTTTCTGGTATTCCTCTCCTAGAACTTGGATAGGTGTGACCAGCACTTTAGTGGCCTTCTTTTATTAGATTTGTTGACTGAAAGAGGTTACTATAGATTGACGGAGGTAGAATGGCCGGCAGTATTTACTCATGACATGATATCTTCTATGCAAATATGAAATATGTATTGGATGGTGTGCACCTGAATGTTAGGTGGATTCTTAAATAGAAAATAGACCTAGAGGGAGTTGAATAGGTGTCCCTCTCAATTCATAATTTCAACTTCTTATGTTTACTGATTATTGAATTATCCAAAGTAATCAATAATAAAAAGAAAGCAAACAGAGGCACTACTTTTTACATGGAAAACCCAAATGGGAAAAACCATTGGACTGTGATTTCAGAGCTCAATAATTTACTAATAATAAGAGTATAACATTTCCCAGCCAGTGTAGATTTTGTCTCTAGCCTGCTTAATTTCTAATGCACAGTGTTCCACAATTAGTTCAAATTCCACCGTCAAACCACTGACCAACTGTTCTCCACGTTAACACAGATGCTCCTCATGATCCACTTCTTTTATAGTGATTACTAGCCAACACAAACAAGCCACGGCTATTGTGAAACTATTATGAACTATACTGCTAATTGCCCTTTGAAATCTTCGGTTAAATATGGAAACAATCTCATAACTTTCATGCAAGTTGTATGCCCAATTTCTCAATTATTATTATTATTTTTTTTGGTTAGGTAAGTACTCACATGCACATTTTACAAATCTCGTAAGTATTTTTTTGGTTGGGCTAATGGACCATTGATATCTCTCTCTCTCTCTCTCTGAGGTCTTTGTTTGATCACAACAACTTAAAACTTGATTTTTTTAGAAGCGAAGGTTGCTGGTAAATCCCATGAAAACTCATGCAAGCAATCTTCTCTATTCAATCTCTCTTCTACTCTGAAACTCACTGAAATTTTGTTTTATATATGCATTAAGCAATAAAACCCTGATTTGGTCTAATAACATAAAAAAAAAGTTTGGAAACTTTTGTCCAAGTTAGAGAGTAACTAGGACATGACCTTTTTATTCTTCTTCTTCAAAATTTTCCCCCTCCCTTAATGATTAGTAGTAACTAGGACATACCCTAATTATTCACAACCAGCTTACTTGAGTGCCAATCCTTCAAATCTGGTACCCGTGCTTTGGTCGCTGGAGTGTTGAGTACCAGTGCTTGCGACATAAGCAGCAGTGCCCAACTATATCCTTGAAATCTTGCATCAGTCCTACAGACTCCTACTCTCACTATTTGTAAAATAAGGCATTCCGAATCATTTTAAACACATTATTATTATTATTATCAAAAAATTTTTTCAAAAACACTTGCAAACTCAAAATAAATTAAAAATCAAGTTCTCAAAACAATTTAAAAAAATTCAAAACAAAATACTCTTGGTGGTTACTTTTCCTGTTGGATTGTTCCTTAAATTCATAGGAATCTCCAGGAAGCTCACTGTTCTCAAACTAAATGCGGACTATGACGAAGAAAATTACAACTTGATAAACTCTTGACACAGAAGTTGTCAACAACTAGAACACCAAGTCATAAAATGCATAGATGCCCTGATCACCTTCTTTTTGTTGGGAAGATTTTCCCTTTCATATATTCTCAGTAGAACTATAGCGGACAGAAACCATGAAAACATGAACATCAAGCACATCACTCTGATATTGCTTGGGTTGTTGAATGGGTAACTGACGTGAAATCCCGTAATGCTTTTCAACGAAAATGTTAAATAACTAAATCATGTAGTGTCATTTTAATGAGTGAATTTGAGTATGGCATGATTCGTCAATTACAGCTTCAAAGCAAAATAATCACCATGATGGCTTTGAGAATACTCCCCTGCTACCTGAAGAAATATGAAACTACCTCACAGATTCTAGTAAAGCATGTCTTGTGTTTTCCTTCTTCTCTTTCCTAATATTTTTTCGGCCCTGCATATTCTCTGCTATTCTGTGTCCTTCGTCTGGTCTTATTTTCTGATCAATTCCCTTTAATGCCATCAAAAAAAGAGAAAGAAGTTGAGATCATTAAGCTAAATTGTCGGGGGCCAACTTTGTAATTTCCTTTTGCCAATTTTATTTAATTCTTATTTTTCTACTGTGTGGAATAGGTTCCTCATGAGGGGCCAATGTGTGATCTCTTGTGGTCTGATCCAGACGACCGGTGCGGTTGGGGAATCTCTCCTCGGGGAGCTGGATATACCTTTGGACAGGACATAGCTGCTCAATTTAACCACAAAAATGGGCTCTCTCTTATTTCAAGAGCTCACCAGCTGGTCATGGAAGGTTACAACTGGTGTCAGGTTTGTATTCCCAAAAAGCAAAACATAATGAATTTTAGATTTTAAATTCCAGTCCCGTTTATTTACTTTTCGGCTTCAATGTTTGTAGGAAAAGAATGTTGTAACAGTATTTAGTGCACCAAATTACTGCTATCGGTGTGGAAATATGGCTGCAATACTTGAAATTGGGGATAATATGGATCAGAATTTTCTACAATTTGACCCAGCACCTCGTCAGACTGAGCCTGACGCCTCTCGTAGAACTCCCGACTATTTTTTGTAATCTCCATCGCTTACCTCCCACCAGCGATTCTCCTTTACTTCTTGGTGTTTTTTGTAGAATATCTCCCAAAAAACAAAGAAATTTTGGTGTTTAGTTGAGGGATTAAACGAAAGAAATTATTGTTTTTATCATTCTTTTGTTTTTGTAGGTATCCTGCTTCATTTATTTGAGATTGCTAGTGTTTTGATTTGTTTTGTATCGTAGAAGTGAACGGCAAAACATTCTACTGTTTTATAAATTCACATTCGTAGGCGAAACAAGTGACGGAAGGTTTTTTTTGCCATTAAATTTTGTTCTCAAGCTGTCAAATTAAGTGAATCCTGATGTAGTTAGTATATTGCAGAAAATGAAATTGAAGCCATGTCACTGAAAACGTATAGCATAAAGAACTGAAATGGTGTGGAACAGGGGAGGCAGAAGCATTCAGGATCAGTTTAGTCTTCGCATTAGAAAGCAAACACCTACAAGCATCTTGTTGTGACACACACAGTGACACACACATACAAACCTATTCGTGTGTGCAAAAACCAAGATTAAACTTACTGAACTACAAGTCGAAACCTTTGATTGTGTGGTATTATTATAGGCAATTAGTACCAGTAAAATTTTCAGAACATTTGTAGTTTTTACCTAGGCCGTTGCAATCAACTAATCAACACAATGTTATCTTAAGGGCCATCAAGATAGAAGAGATTTGGAGGACATCTTACTTCTGTAGGCCTCTTGGGGCCTGTTTGGTAACCAGAAACGTTTATAAGTGTTTGGTTATATAGTGTTTTAAATAGTAATAGTTTGTTGCAAAAATTTTAAAAGAAAAAAACATTAAACTTGTTTGGTAAAAATTGCTGTAAGTTTGACATGCGATCGTTATATTTTTTGTCAATACCAAAACAACTGTTTTGTTGTACGAGTTTAGAAATTGAAGCCATGTTGGTAACGAAAATTAGAAATTGAAGCCATGTTGGTAACGAAAATTTGTTTTAAGAAATTCAAAATTTTGATTTAGCTCCTTCAGTACCAAAACATACAATTTCACCAATTTGGTGATATGAATTTGGACAAAAAAATTAATATGTTATGAACTATTCTAAACTAATATATCGCCGTCTTAAACATGATATGAGTTCAAATTTAAAGACTAATATTAAAAAAATAATATTATAACAAATTCCAAATAGGCCAATAATGGACCTAATGGTTAATTTAAAAAATGTTTTTTCAATTTTTTTCTTTTGGTACTATTTAGCGGTACAATGCACAAATATGCAAAAATGCCATAGTGGTGTTTTGACTTTTGACCATTCACGAAAGTATAAAACAAAATATTTTTTAACCAAAAAAAAAAAAAAAAAAATTAAAAAACATTGCTATATTATCTGACCAAAAACAAAAATACTGAAAAAACAGCCAACCAAACACGACCTTAGTAATCATCACCAAATTTATATAAAATTGTGTTACGGTGATTTATGAGAACAAAATGATGGGTTTAAATTAATAATCTAAAATGTAGAAATTAAGAGTTCAACAATAAATTAAAGAGTGATGCATAAATCTTAAATTACTTGTAGAAGATCCTCATATGAATATTAATTTGGGGGGTGGGGTTTAGTAACTAAGTAACTACGTATTCATATAATTCTTAATTCTTTTTAACGGGGGTCGCTCTTATACTTTATTCATTCTTACACTTCGTATACACTCTGATTCAAATTTTCACTATTTATAATTTAATTCTGTCATTCTTACCCTCTCATTTTTTAATTTGTTCTCACTCTCGCTCTCGCTGCCACTTTTCTCGTTTTCAAATTTGCTCTGGTACTCCCTCCGGGGTAGGCTATAACATGTGTTACTAATTGTAACTTCAATGGTGCATTAGTCATTTCACTTGGTAATGAAGATTAAAAAACAAAGTGAGAAGTGAGAGCATCTTTGACCGAATAGATTCTTTTCCTCATGTATCTATTTGATCGAACGGCTTCTATTATGTCTTGATCCAACAGCCGAAGAAATTTATGTAGTCAAAAAAGCACTATAGAGTCTGGTGTACAGTGACGTTGCACACAGAGTAGCACAGTCTTGTGCACCATACATGTGATGAACCGCTACAGAGCTTCACTCTCTTTCTGTCTCTATCAATTTGTGAACTGAGCTTCAGACTCACTCACTCACTCTCTCTCTCTCTCTCTCTCTATCTCTCTCTAGGTTATGTTTGGTACTGTGGGTTTGAAGGGGATGAGTTATTATGGGTCGGATTGCACTCCTCCCACACAATCCGACCTATAATAACTCATCGATCCGGCCGACGTTGAGCCGATCGACGCAAAACTCAAACTCGAACAAGCCCGACGCTTCTGACACAGTAGACGACGAGCTCGGAGAGGCCAGAGGGCTGTAGAAGAATCCGGAGCCGGCAAAGGGCGGGCTACGTCCGTCGCCGGGTTGTTGTCGATGTGCCGCTTCGGCATGCTCATCACAGTCGCTATCTCTTGGATGTACAGGTACTTTCGAGGGCTGAACCAGCCAGACCAGTTTTTATTTACAAGCATGTATATAATCCATTTTCTTTCATGCACCCAGTCTTTTCCAAAGTTCTGAGACTTCAAAACAATCGTGTAGTCTGTTGTGTGTGATTTTCACTGAAATAACGTTGTTGATGGGTTTTACCCACTGAAATCTTTTGTGGGTTAGTGTCTGTCATGAGATTTGAGTTGAATTTTTGATGGGTAATGCTTAATGTTCAGTTATGTATTGAATTTTGTTGAAGTATATATATATATATATATATATATATATATAAATTTTTTTTTTTTGGGAGCTAAGCGTTATTAATCCAATGGGATGTGCAAGTCATGAAAACCCCAAACCCACCAAATGAAAAGAAACCCCATAGCTAAAACGAACAAGAAACTACAGTACTTAGACCAAAGAACAAACTTCCACAATAGCAAAACAGGAAGTCCACTCCAAGTAGCATGATGCATAGACTACAGAGATTGCCGCCTCCACTGGAAACCAAGCACCCACCACCAGAACATACCCAACAACATGATGCCCAGTCATAATACCAAAGAAGATGCTCTAAGCAACCAATAACCACAAATCGACCCAACCTCCTCCAACAAAATATCAACCCACCAAGGGGACAACAACTAGGAAACCAGAGGAGAGAAGAGTGGAACCACAAATAAAGCACAAACCCACCTCCAGAACCAGCCGTATCCAAAAATCTGGAAGCATCAACACAAATAAAAAAAATAGAGCATCAATCATACCTGATGAGAGACTCAGGTAAATCCCAAACTTGACAAAGCCAAGCATCTCTCGGGTCCTGCTGCAACTTTTGAATAGACAGCAATCTCCACTTAATTTCCTGCTCAATAGCGTGGATGAGAGAGTCAGAAGAGTTAGACCTTTGCTCACAGTGTCTCAAATATCTCTTGCTCCAAACAGCATACACACGGGCTGAGAGAAGAAGCTTATTAAACCACTGAAAACAAAGAATTGTCATTAAACCCCATAGAAGACCACTGAACAATCCCATGCTAGTCATAAGTAGGCCAAGTAGCAGCACCTTTAGTAGGCACCTGCTTCCAAATCCTACCAGTAAAGCTGCAAGAGAAAAATAAATGGTCCATATCTGCAATCCGCCTTCTACAAAAAGTACACAATCCAGAAGCAGTGGAACCTCTCTCGAGTAAAATATCTTGAGTAGATTACCTGCCTCGAACAGCCAACCACAGCCTAATTATTCCAAGGAACCTGAGGTTTTTTATACCTCAAAAACTCCCAAGCATTGCGAATAGAAAACTTACTACCAATAGGCCCCCAAATAATCAAATCCTCTCTATCAGGATCAGGAAGAAAATCTGCAGGAACAGTGGCTCTCTACTCCATCCACTCCATAGTATTGATTCTAGGCCGCCTCCACCCACCATTGGATATCACAACAGTGACAACCCTAACCCTAGCATCCCTTCCCAAATCCGAGGCCACAATGATCCTCTCATGATAATTCAAGCAAATGGGCCGCATAGGAAGCCAATTATTGTACCACAGTGAAGTAAGAGTCCCAGTACCAATTTTGTATGTAATAGCAGACTGAACTTTGCCTCTCAAACGGAGAATTTTGCGCCAAGTCCAAGAACAAGATGTGGAATTTTGAGGGTCCAAAAATTCCTATCCTTAATCAAGAAATGACGAACCCATTGAACTCAGAGAGAATTCGAAGCTGGATCAAGAACATTCCAAATATGTTTGGTCATGGCAGCCTCATTCCAATTTCCAAGACACAAGGTCTTTAGATTTTAATCCCTAACCCTCCCTCACATTTAGGACAGCACAAAGAATGCCAATTAATTTTATTACCACCCTCCTCTAAATCTGAACCATTCCATAAAAATCTCCAAAGAACTAAATTAATATCCTTCATGATGCCTTTGGGGAGAATAAAATGAGCAGGCCAGTACACCTGAATTGAAAATAAAACAGTAGAAATTAACTGCATCTGGCCTGCAAAAGACAAATGCCTACTATTCCAAGACTTCACTCTCCTAACAATGCTGTCCACTAAACAACTACAATCTTCCTTCCTCGGTCGAGTAGAAATAATAGGGACACCCAAGTACCGAACAGGGAGAGAAGCCAACTTGAAACCCCAGAGACTGAGTAAGAGAGAGAACCTGTTGATCAGCCATACCAGAATAGAAAAACTGGCATTTAGAGTTGTTTGGTACTAAACAACTACAATATTCCTTTCTCAGTCGAGTAGAAATAATAGGGACACCCAAATACCGAACAGGGAGAGAGCCAACTTGAAACACCAGAGACTGAGTAAGAGAAAGAACCTGTTGATCAACCATACCAGAATAGAAAAACTGGCATCTAGAGTTGTTTGGTTTCAACCCCAAATAACTCCCAAACTGCTGAACCACATCCCAAAGAATTTGAACTGAATGCAAATCCCCTTTCAGAAAAAAGCATTAAGTCATCCGCAAAAATGATGCTAGATAATTGATGCTCCTTACAACGCCAATGAAACTTGAAATCCTCCTGCAGAGTATGGGTTCTTAACATCCCAGTAAAGACCTCCATACACATAACAAAAAGGTAAGGGGACATGGGATCCCCTTGCTTTAACCCTCTGCCACTACTAAAGTAACTCTCAAGGCTGTCATTGATGTTTACAGAGAAATTAGGAGAACAGACACACACCATAATCCTACGAACCATAAACTCCGGAATATTAAAAGCATACAACAGCTTCTCCAAGAAATCCCAAGAAACTGTATCATACGCCTTACGAAGATCAACCTTTAGAGCAACTCTAGCAGGGGTAGAATTCTTATGGTTATCTTTCATCAACTCTTGAACCATTAACACATAGTCAGATATACTTCTACCAGCAACAAAAGCACCCTGATTAGCACTTATACAATCATTCAAAAACCGCTTCGACCTATTAGCCAAAACCTTCACAATAATCTTATATATTGTATTACACACAGCTATAGGCCGAAAATCTGAAACACTATTAGGGTTATTAACCTTTGGGACCAGAGTTATAAAAGTAGAATTAACCTCTCTGAGCAACTTCCCAGTTCCAAAGAATGACTTAGCTGCCCGAAGGCCATCTGAACCCACAATACCCCAAACCTTCGTGTAAAATAAAGCATTAAATCCATCACTCCCAGGAGCTTTGCCATCTTTTAGAGAAAATACAGTTGTAGTGATCTCTGTATCAGTAATTGGCATCAAGAGATCATGAACTTGCGGAAGAGAAAGAGGATGGAGCACATATTGCCTAGGAGAAGACACTGCAACTGTAGACTCATCAGTTTTGAACAAATTCTGATAGAGGATAAAATTTTTTCCACAATCTGACCACTATCCACCAACCTCACACCATCAGCATTAGTATTAGACAGAATACTATTGTACTTCCTTCTCTGCTGCAAAACTTTGTAGACGAAAGCAGTATTCTGATCCCTAAGGTTGAGCCACTGAATCCGAGACTGCTGCTTCCTAATGCTTTCCTCAGCCTCGTAAAGATTTTTATAATCTACAAGGCTAGTCTTTTCAGCCCCAAGCAAGGAAGGATTGAGAGGATCAGCATCTAGAGCCCTTTGACACAAATATAAATGATCCTGAGCCCTTTTAACTTTTGAAGACGGATTACCAAAGCTCCTATTGTCAAGATTCTTCAGAGCAGCTTTCAAAATCTTCAATTTTGAGTAATCTGGAACATAGGATTACCCGTAATCCGCTCTAACCAAACATCGGACTCTATACCCATGAAATCAAGTAATCAACATGATTCAAAAGATAGTTATTTATCCGAAAAGGTCTCCTAGGCTTCCTAGTCTGCACCATGAGCTTCAGAATAATAAGAGCATGATCAGAGATACCCGGAGGCTCAAACACGGCCTCAGAGGATGGAAAACAAACACCCCATTCTTCATTAGTAAGAACACGATCCAACTTTCTGAAATAGTAACCATTGTACCAGGTAAACTTCAGGCCACCATGCCTTAGGTCCATCAGTTCAGGCTTATTGATACAGTCCTCAAATTCATTCATGTGCTCAGGCCACAACTCTGAACCACCCAATCTTTCATTGCAAAACTGGATGGCATTAAAATCCCCAGCTAGGAAACAAGGAGAAATGACACCAGCGGCAGCCAGATGATCAATATCACTCCAAAGCTTCCTCCTTTGCATATAACAATTGTCCCCATATATGAAGCTCCCCATAATATATAGAACCAGAGTAATTAGTAATAGAACAATGTATAAATTGACTAGATCTACTGAGACAAGGAACATGAAGTTGAGAAGGATCCCAGCAAACCCAAATTCTATCCCGAGGAGAAAACTCATAATTGGTAAGTGTTTGAATGTATATCTTATAGAATGTTGGGCCATTATGTAATTACCCATAGTAGTTAGGGTTGTGTAATTAAGCAATATTGTGTAAATTAGGGTGTATATGTAATACCCCTATATTTTAAAGGAATTAGTTATAAGGATTAATTATTTATATTTCATTTAAAAATGATTTGTTTGATTTAATTGAGTTTAATTGTTTTTATTTTTATTTTATATGATTTATTTTTACTTAATTAAGTGCGTAGATAAATTGTGATTGGTTTTATTTAATTAAGTGCGAGTGCATAGATAAATTGTGATTCGTTTTATTTAATTAAGTGCGTAGATAAATTGTATTGATTTAATTAAATTATATTTTGTAATTATATTTGTTAAATTTATATGGTGTTTGATTTGTGGAATGCTAATGAGTGAATTGTTTATCTGATTTGTGTGATTTTATGCTTGTGTAACTTTATTGTTAATTATTAGTAACTATTAGATTTAATTTAATTATTTTATGTATTTAAATTAATTGGACTGGACTTAAGGGAGGTTGGACCAAATGATGTAGTCTTGGGTTTGGATGAAGTCTTGTTGGGTAATTAATTAGAGGCCCATGGTTATGAGGTTATTTAAAGGATTTTTATTGTGCTATATAATAATTATTATTATTTGAGGTTAATTAATTAATTATATTTATTAATTAAGGAAGGATGTATACATATATATTATGTAATATATGTGTATATATAATATAATATAATATATGTGTATATAATTATATTATTTAAAGATTATTGTTAGTTCCCTTTTTATTTGGTAGTCATTATTGAAATAGGATTATGTATTTATGTGTATAAATATACACGTAAGATTTTATCGATAAAAGTTTTTCACGTTAGAAAATAAGAGAGAACTTATTCGTAGGGTTTAACCCACGATTTTTTTTCAGGTTATTAGAGGTTCCAGTCTCGAGGTTGAGGATCCGCAACTGGGAGACTGTCATTCATCTATTCATCTAGTGTACTTTAAGTAGTATTGGATTATTAGATAATGTTTTAAGGGGTCCTTGAGTTACGGGATTCCCGAGTTGTAATTGTTGGAGAATTATTAATTAATGAAATATTTATTTATTAGTTTTTTTCAACGGTTTATTTATTCTTTATTATTCATCTTTGTATTCTGTGCTTGTTTAAATACTTTAATTGTTTTGATATTCTATAGTTTTGTGCGCGGACTCGATCAACCCGTGTTCCGAAATTAGGGGGTATCACAGTATATCCCTTGTTCTCAATATAGCCTCATGCTTGAGAGGCCTGAATCAATATATGAAATTTATGCATCTCTCTCTCTCTCTCATGAATCTGAACATGGTATCAGAGCAATGAAGATTCATGGGTGTGGGAAACGTGAGTGTGTCGTTGTATGAGATCGGACTCGCGACTGGAATCGTGAGTGTGTCGTTGGTGTCTTCGTCGGAAGTTCGTGTCTCCGGTAGGTTGAGAACATCACTGTTAATCGTCATTGTCCTTCGTCGCCGTTAGATTTGAAGCCTGTAGTCGTCGTCGTCAGATCTGCAGCCTCCTTCGTCGCCGTCAGATCTGAAGCTCTTTGGCCGCTTGTGTTGTTGCCGTGTTGATCGTCAGTAAGCTCGCCGACATCCATCATCATTGTTTGCAGAGGTAGACCTTCATCGATTCGCCCTGTTTCTTGGTCGGAAGTTGTCGAGGTTTGGTGTGGTGTTGTCGCTATGTGCTCACCGGAATCTGTTGGGGTTGTGGAGAAGAAAAGCCTTGTTTGGTTACGTGGCTATGCTATCCCAATCCTGGTTTACTAAAACCGGGATAGCAGAGACCTGTTTTTGATTCAACCCGGTTCCAGATCCGACCCGGTTTCGAAACTGCAATTTTCCCAGGTTCATTTTTCTTTACCTTCTCTATGGCTTCTAGTTCTGATCTTCTATCTTCTGCCTCCTTTAATCCTCCTATGACTTCAGTCAAACTTAATGGAAAAAATTACATTTTATGGGCCAAGTCAGTAGCCATTTTCCTGAAAGCCAAAGGCTTTGGCGATCATTTGGTTAGGGATAAACCCAAAAGCAGTGATGTTGATTTTAGTTCATGGGAACAAAGAGATGCTCATATCATCTCCTTAATGCTGAATTTGTGATACCCCCTAATTTTGGAACACGGGTTGATCAAGTCCGCGCACAAAATGAGGGGATATCAAGACAATTAAAGTATTTCAAACAAACACGAAGTACAAAAAGAAATAAAAAGAATAAATAACTCGCTGAAGGAAAATCTATTAAATAAAAGTTTCATTAATAATTCTCCAAAACTTACGTCTCGGGAATCCTGTAATACAAGGACCCCTAAAGCAATATTTAATAATCCATTCAATTAAAAATTATATATAAATAATTATATATACTACACTAATCACATCCGTTAATACATTTATTAAATTTCTAAACCTATTAAATAATGATTAAAATAATAATCATACCTAATCCAATTCACTATTTCTTTTAAAAAGAAATTCCTTAAACCTTAATCCTATCCTAAACAGTTGTTTAATCATTTGAACAATAAAATATAATTAAAAGAATAATACATTTAATCCAAACCCAATAATGATTTAAAATTATTTAAATCATATATCCAAAATCTAAGGTTTGACAGATCATCCATGTCTCTACCAGTATTATTTTATTAATATGTATAAAATAATACATTAACCTGTAAGTACTAAATTATTCTAATTTAAGAATATTTAATCCTAATCCAACTTATACATACAATAACCATAGATGATATTTTAATCATCTAACACACAATAATTTAATTACGCTTTGGCAAATCAACCATGCCATTATAAACATATTTATTTATATATTTTGGCAACTCAACCGTGCCTCCACAGGTATATTTATTTATACATTGGCAATTCAACCATGCCTTTCCTATGTATATATTTTATTCATATAAATAAGGCAATATTCTTTTAAGCCTTTGACAACTCATCCATGCCTATTATTCAACCATGTACCAAACCTTAAAAGTTAATTCATCAATCAAATAATTCCCACATAGTAAAATTAACTTACAAACAAAACAACTCATACTTAGGCATTCCATGCATATCTCATCAAGTAAGAATAATAGTTTAATCCTCTTAAATGATATATACATATACCAATATATATATATATACACTTCATTCCATATTAATCACAAGTTAAATGAACCATATATATACATATATAATTAAATATATATATATATATATACACACTTCCTTCCATACAAAACATACATTAATTAATCCATATATACATATATATAAATTAATGTTTATATATATATATATATATACACCTTATTCCATCACAAAATTATTAATTAATTATGTACGCAAATGAAATACAGTGGTGATACTCTATGGCTCTCCAAACACCAATAATATCCTCTGAGGGTTGATTGCAACACTAATAAGCTTAAAACCAATTCTGGAACATCACCGGACTCCATAGTAACTTTTCGGGACCCCAAACACCTCCGCACGTGTCCCCACGCGCCTCCTCACTTGCCCAAACCATGCTCACGCGCTTCCACGCGCTTACACCATCTAACTAGCTCGTCTACGCGCTGCCACGCGCCGGATCCATTCTCGGCGCGTGTGTGGTTGCTACTGATTGGTTGTCCTCTAAGTTTTAGTGCACTCGCCCACACCAGATAAATATCTTGTTGACCAGAACTCATCCATGGCCTAAATGCATGTGCACATCAAATCTCCATGCTCTGCGAAGCACTGGATTATCTGTCCTTCATCATCGCATCTCAGCCGCTGAATCCGTGTGTGCACCATAATACAATGTGCCGCGTCGCACTGGATTACTCCTTTAATCATCAAACCCATCCAAGCCTCTGTACTGCGCGCGCACCACAATGATGTGTGCCGCGCCGCACCGAATCCTATCCTATTTTTGAGCGTCGGTTACTAAACCCTACAGGCGTTCATATATACAGTATATATATATTATATTTATACACATGAATAATTGTATATAAAATTCTAAAAATATCAGAAAAATATAAAACAAACCCAGAAAAATGTAAAAAAATTCTAGAAATTCTAGAAAAATTCTATAAATCTTAATTAACCCTTTTGGGTCATAGATCAAACATATAACTTGATTTTAAATATATAAAGAACACCTATGTACACAATTAAAATCCGATAAATTCACAAATTAAATATAATAATTTATGTTTGTAATTATTCCGATCTAATCATGATTTAATTAATAAATTTAGTCTAAAATTCTGATACTTAAGGTGATCAATTTATGGGTCCTTAGAGAAGAGTTAGAAAAGCACTTGCCTGAAGATTTCGAAATGAAACCGACGCTTCAATCTTTTATTGTCTCTTCCAACTCCGGCATCCTCATCCTCAGATCCGGTCTACTCCTTGTCAGCTTTCTTTTCTTCCTCTTTCTCTGCCTCTCGTATTTTCTTAACGTGTAAAACTCTTAACCCTAAAACTTTATGCGTATATTTATACACATTAGAATCCAAATCCTTTTCCTACTACAACTACGGAATAAAATAATAATCTCTAAATAATATAATATATATATACATATATTATATTACATATATATATATATATATATATATATATATATATATATATATGTCTTCCATAATTAACCATTGGTTAATTAAATTACATATTCTATATATATCCATAAATATATATCTATATATATTTCCTTCCAGTATTAATTAATTATATTTATATAATTAAATATATACATTTATAATTAATACAAAAATGATCATTTAAATAATTAAATAACGATGGGCCTTTATTAATTAATCCAATAAGGCTTCATACAAGTTCAATACCACATCTTTTGGTCCAACTTCCCTTAAGCCCACATCTAATTAATTTAAATAAAACAAATAATTAAATAAATACTTAAATTAAAATAATTAATTACATGAAACACATAAACGAAACAAGAAATTACAATCAAGTCAAACACACACAACAATCATCATATCAATCACGAAATATAATTTAATAAAAATAATACAATTAATCTAGCAGTCAATTAAAACAAATCAATTAAAATTAAAATAAACACAATTAATTAAAATTAAATCAAATAAATCATTTACAAATAAAATAAAATAAATTAATTGTAATTAATAAATTCTTTAAAATATAGGGGTATTACAAAATTGTATTGAACCCCATATTAGCTCCAACTTGTCATATCTGTACACAGCCAAGGAGATATGGACCCGACTCCAACAACTATATTCTGGTGCTGGTAATATAACCAAAGTGTATGAGGTGTGTAAACAATTTTTTGAGCTCCAGCAAGGGACTCAAAGTTTGGAAGAATTCCTCTCACGGGCTATGGGACTATGTGAAGAAATGAATATGTAAAAACCATTACCTCTGATGTAAAAAGCATACAGCAACAACGTGAGGATTTTAATGTTGTTCGAGTTCTCACAAGATTGTCACAAGAGTATGAACTTGTTCGTGCACAGATTCTGGGTAGCTCTACACTACCCTTTTTACCTGATATGTTATCCAGGCTCCAGCTTGCCACTTTATCTAGTGGTGCTTTAGGAAGTGCTTCCAGTGGTGTTACTGTTCCTTCTAACAGTGAACGTTCTGCCTTAGTTGTGAACCAGGGTGGCTTTTAGTCTTCTCGTGGAGGTGGTGGTGGTGGTCGTTTCAACTGTGGCCGTGGTCGAGGTAAAGGCAGAGACTCAAAAATTTGCACTCACTGCGGTCTTACTAATCACACTGTTAATTGCTGTTGGGATCTTCACGGGAAACCGTCACCTTCTTCCTATACACATCAAGTGACTTCTAATTATGAGGACTCCTCTCTATCTGCCACCTCCACTGCTCCACATGTGGCTGTTGATACTGCTATGGTCACGATTCCCCGTGATGAGTATGCTCAGTTTATGTCTCAACAACGGACTTCCACCTCATCTTCCATGGGGTCATGGGCTCAATCAGGTAGTGCCCCTGCATGTCTTTTGTCCTCTAGTCAGAGTCCCTAGATTCTTGACTCTGGTGCATCCGATCACATGACTGGTAGTTCTCATCTCT